CTGCTTTGCTGGCTTTTTATACCAAGCAGGCTACCCTATTTAAAACCATGGGGTTACGAACACCTGTGTGACCGAACTATGCACCAAATGTAACGTATATCTCCGTATATCGTTTGCTTATGGCTATACAGATGTTTTGTTTCGTAAAATCGGTTGCTTCTTTTTACAGAAGGAATAAAATAGGTAGGGAATGGGGGGTTACCTAGAAAAGAAATCGTGTAAACAGTGAAAAGGATCCGCATTTGAATAAATGATAAATTATACAAAATTTCAGGACATGCAGCCCGATATAGTAATTTTATAATAACAAGATCAATGTAACAAAGTAATCAGGCAAAATAATGAAATGCAATTTCATAAACATATATAACAATGTACACATATAAATAAAAATAAGGAATGATAATTATAATTATCAAAACCTATTGCTTGATTTGATGTAAGTGCACTTGTTTAAAAACTTTTGTTTTGGTTTCTACCGAAAATTGGGTATTACCAAACAAAAGTAATTCTAAATCAAAATCAACATACAAGGCATTCAAATTTTGGAACAGGATGCGTCTTTCGTCGTTAAAAAGTAAGCACTCATAAAAAAGTGAAGGCATTTTCACAGGGATGGCCACAATTACAAACTGGACTATCAACAAGATTTACCATATAAAGATCATATTTAAGTGGACTACACTGATATCAAAGTTTTGTATGCAAAATGTTTAATTTACGTTCACCGAAACCTAAGTAGATTGGCGGAGGAGATAGTACGTTTGAAGTTAACGAGTTTTTAAAAGAATGTAAAGAAGTCATCTATATGTTTAAAAACAAAACAGTATTTATTGCTATGCCATTCCATTTTAGACACCAACCGCGATTGCTATCGCAAATCTTTCGTCTATCTTGTGCACAGATGTGCGAAGCCGTAATCGTCCATATTTTCTTCGTTGGCACATGATAGACATATCATGCACACTCTGTACATCATGTAACGTTGTGCAATCTCACGGCTGTACATGTTTCGGTGATTTTAATGGTTCGAAAAAGCATTCATTTACGTTTGTGCTACGTGTGAAACTGATTGGAATTTTTGCAATGCCCGTAAAAATCCTGAAGTGCTTGAATATTTATAGATTTCTAAAAAACGCAAAAATATTTAAGAAGCGGATAGAAAACAATTCCGAGAATCAGATGTGAAGACATAATCAAATATTCTCAGTATATTACCTATATTTAGAAAGGTATGTCGGGCAATTACGCATAGCTGTTACTCACGCAACATTGCCCTCATTTTCAAATCCTGCCAGCTTGATACTAAATGTATTAATTATTTTGTTTGAAAAATGTCTGTGGAAAGTAGTTGTTTTGAGTTAACAATGTCTCTCTGATAATCTGATTTCATTTATTGGNTGGATGTTACATGTTTGTTATTACGTTTGTGTCGGTCTATTGTTCTGTTCACCTGGATGTTACATGTTTGTTATTACGTTTTTGTCGGTCTATAGTTCTATTCACCTGGATTTTCACACTTCTATTAGTTACGCGAGTGGCGCGGGTGACGAAAACTATCGTTGTTATCTGCAGACGTATATGGGTCGAGCGTTTAACGTGTCTATTGGGATTGTTTATAAACCCTGAAAACACCATTTAAAATATGAAGTTAGAGTGATAAACCTATGGGTATATATAAGCTAAAATATGGTAATATATTTGAAAATAAACCATCTATAAGTTCGAAAACAAAACTATATTGATTGCTATGCCATTCCATTTTAGACACCAACAGCGAATGCTATCGCAAATGTTTCGTCTACCGTGTACATAGATGGGCGTAGCCGTAATCGTCCAGATTTTCAAATATTTAAGAAGCGGATAGAAAACAATTCCGAGAATCGGATGTGAAGACATAATCACATATTCTCAGTATATTGCCTATATTTAGAAAGGTATGTCGGGCAATTATGCATAGCTGTTTCTCACGCAACATTGCCCTCATATTTAAATCCTGTAAGCTTGATATTAAATGTATTAATTATTTTGTTTGAAAAATGTCTGCAGAAATGTAGTTGTTTTGGAGTAAACAATGTCCGTCTGATAATCTGATTTCATTTATTGTAGGCCTACCAACACAGAAGAGACCATTAGGGCGAATAAATGGTCTTGCTGTGCGGTAAAGCCTCTTGTTGGATAAAGATGAGTGTATGACTCATGTGAATGTTCCAAGGTCATATTCTGCACGCCTGGTTATTTATGTCTACTGTACTAGTTATTTCTGAGAAACTTTGCTGAATTACTACATGTTAGCACGTTTTACTTTTTCGTTATTCGCTGGGGTTGTGACAGCGGTTTTGACGTTTTCTGCTTTCCTAAATTAGTTTTTTTGAAGAGATATTTTTTTCAGACCGTTTTTTGATACTTTGTCCATTTTTGACTCTACCTGTTAAGATTTCTACGGTATGTTCTGTGTGTTGAAGATGATGCATAGATTCTTATTCATTTGTCAAGTACATAATAGTGTTCCTGACCCTTTTCCAGTCTAAGTGTCGCGTGACTCGATATACGACATCCAAACTTTCCATTCAGTGAATTATGGAGGCTTTGGAAGGGGGTTTGTGGAGTTGGAGTGGGAGCTACTTGATTATTACTGACCACCACTTTACCACACTAACCACCACTTTCCACTACTTATTATTACCTGACCACTTCTGGACGTAACTTGATCAATACTGACCACCTTTTTACCAATACTAAACATTACCCAACCAATACTGACGACTACTTGAACACAACTGACCACCACTATACCCTACTGAACACAACTATATTTGACCTAAACTAATTATCATTTGACAAACTAACCGTTACTTGATCTATCCTGATAACCGCTAGACCACTACTGACCACCTATTGACCACTACTGACCGCCACTTGACCACGACTGACCACCTCTTGACCAACTCTTTAACACTACTGATCACCACTTGACCACTCATATCACCAATAGATCACTACTGACCACCACTAGATCACAACTGACCTGGGGGGGGGGGGGGGGGGGGGGGGGGGGGGGGGGGGGGGACATTAGTGTCCTTTTACGATACACATACGAATTGGATACGAAAGATCTATTCTTAGTTTCTCCAATGTCCTCTTAACAGAAGTTTCAGCAGGGTCTCCCCATAAGTCTCCTCTTACGATCATGCAGTGAGGTAAACGGGCCTATTCATTACGCACCTGCGCTTAGTTTCCATCTTGTCCGTGGGCGGAAAGAGTGGAGTTGCGCTCTTGCAAACAGGAATTGCGAAATGCCTACCGTTCTATTAGACCTTTCTCATTTTTGGGCAGACCTAGCACGGAGCATGGAGACAGAGACCCAGACAAACATATATAGGGGACATTTCAAAAATAATTGTATATGGAACGTAGCGTATAGGGTATGTCAGAGTGTGTAGACCCACATGTGAGTGACGAAAGGTAAGCGAACAGGTAAGAACTTATGTAGCCGGTAATTACAGACCGTGGTAATTGATATTTCAACATCTCCGTTAAGGTTCTCACCCGGGACGTCTGTTGTATTTTTCTGGCGCCGATTGAGTTAAAAGAAATTCCCCGAGCCAAAATAATCAGTTGGAAGATATTTTCTTTTACTAGAGTGACAGGGATCACATTTGCAGATTAAATTTACCATCCACAAACTTCTTAGGACACGATATTTCCATATTACGAAAGAAATGTTTAACGTTTACACGGTGTCTTTTTTTTATAATAGCGTTAAACTGAAGGTACTTGTTCCACACATTTTCGTCACTTAATTCCTTTGCATTGTTGTATATAGAGGTGGTTGGTCAAAAGAACGTTTATTAGCATCCCTTCGTGACAAAGTAACGTTAATGAGTGTTCCTTCGCAACAATAACATGAAAAAACATTTTATGCTATTCTTAGAAGACTGTTCTATGGATCATTTCAGGGAGTAAATTTTCGGATTTTTATACTACTGCGATCAACTCTAGCATGCACCGAGTCTTTGTTTTCAGTACAAACCATAATTTAAAAAAAAAAAAATACTGAAAAAAACCCCAGTAAGGGGAGATCAGCCAAGAGAGGTTCATCAGTTTACATGTAATGAAAACAGGTAAGGAACACTAAAATATCGTTCTCTAGTGTTTTGTCGCAAGCAGCGGACAGGAATCCTTAATACAGATGAAATGAAAAATATTTTGAGATGTTACCTGATTTTATTACTTTCAGTGTCCGTCTCTGGCTCCGTGGTAGGTCTGCCTCAAAATGAGAAATGTCTATTGGCAGATGTATTTTATGCCATGAGTCTAATAAACTACGAGTACATGTAACACGTATTGAACAGGCAAAAGAGTGACAATATCACTTGAAATCTTTGAAATATGTGGGATTGGCGGTTACCTTAGGGCTGTCCGTGTTCTAGCTATATGGGATCATGTGCGTGAGATATTTTAATTTTACAAATTTTTAATAGTTCTTCTTTTGTTAACTCACTAATGTATCATTAATAGTTCACTATAGTTATAGTGCCATTAAATAAAAGTATTTTAAGCAATGACTTTGGGAACATTTTGGAAGGTGAATGTACGTTGCTAACTTTGGAGTAATCAGGTGTATACAACTAGTTTTGTATCATTGTAGTTAGGAAATATACATATTTATAAAACAAACTAGATGACACAGTTGCTAACGCTTTCGACCATTTATTTGTTCATCAGGTAAGTGATTTTTATTAAGATATCATAGTTCAAAGAGCACATTTTAAAGGACGTCACCTTTTAACGACGTTTACAATACCATAAAATCTTGGATAAGCAATATGTCATTATATGAAGAAAAACATGGAAGAGAGTGTAATGAAGATGTACAGTTGTATATAGTGGCTTTTGACCATGAGCCATGTTTAATAATCTTAACTAGCATTATAAACCGAAGAAACAAACTGAATATGAATAAAAAACAGCAATGATTTTTTGTTAACTTGAGGAAAAAACATATTTCACATACATATGTCGACTCTGAAGTTATGTAATGACCGCGTCGATAGTCAGGTAAAACAAGGTAAGACGAATGATCTCCTCCCAGACTCTAGTTTTATGGGAGGCAAACAAACATGCACTTTTCTTGTATTAAATAAAATAAACGGTACTATTAACACCGCGCTAGTCGACACGTTAACCAATATTACTAGTTATCTCAAATATGCAATCTATCAAATATCAGAAATGGGTAAACAAACACTTTTTTCCGTTTAAATGATTAGTTTAAATTTTAATATATATAATTTATATATAAATGCTTAATGGATTAGTCAAAGCAAACTAAAATAAAAAACGAAATTCAACAAACAATAAATAACTAATAAATGTTTTCACAGAAACATCTGGAAAGTATTTGGGGTATAAATAACCTTGATGGTTCATTCATTGAAACATGTGTCTTAATTGAACTATAAGGACTGACTTTTGCTCTTTGATTAAATCGAGTTGGAACTGATACAAATTTAAAGCCTTTGAATTGTAAATAGGAATAACATAAAAAACATCATTAGAACAACGATGCATAAATCTAAAAAACATACTTAATTTCCATTATGTGTTCTGTATATCCATGTTTAGTCATAATTCACATCCCTATTGTCCGATATAGAATTGTTCACACCGTTTACATATTGAAAATAAATAGAATTCTTAGAATACCAGTTCATATAACTTATCGAATATCTTTTTCGGAACCGTTTCTTAAAGCGTAATGCCATACTATAGTGACTATACTTTGTATAAACAAGTTATCAGTGCATGTGTTCATACCACTCACAGGGATACCCACCATGCCTGCAAGTGCCATCTAAATGATTGAATTTGTCTTTGAAATAAGGATTGGAACGTATTGCTTCGAACAGTTCATCGTTTAGTTTGCAGCTGTCGAATGCCACCGTGCCATCATTGGGTTTCTTCAGCTTGCTGTACCACTGCATGAACGTGAGTGAAGCGCTTTCAATGATGTCCTTCCCTAACCCCCAACTTGAGGTTCCGCACATCACTCCAGATACGAACCTCTTCCCTATTTGTATCAGATGATGATAACGTATCCCAGTCGGTGATATATAGTCGGTTTTAAGTGCAGTGTAGACATCAAATTCCCTATTTTCAGTAAGTTTACAGAAACCTTGCGCCCGCAATAAACGGCGAATCAATCTCTGGAGAAATGTAGGTTTTCTGCAAATCTTTGAGAGAGTATTAGCTACAACACTTCCAGTCCACGGGCCTTGAACAGAAAACCAGCGGCTTGTGGTCTGATTGAAGGTACACCTTTGTCGGTGCAGTGCAGCTGCAATCACTAAATTCCCCATAGAATGTGAAAATATCACCGTGTTAGTTATAGTTCCATTGGTGGCAGCCACATCACAAAAGTGCTGGTGTATATGGTCATCGTCCCAGCCGTTGTGTTTACTGTTATAGACAAGAAATTTATGCGAAGTACAATTTGAAGTGTACTTTCTAATGTCACCCCAATATTCGGGAAAATCTTGAATAACATAGTTACCAGTCGCGTTGGTACCAGCTCCATGCACAAACAAACACGTGGCCGGAGATATTCCAGAAGCTCTTTTGACTATTGGAGGATTATTCGCATCGCTGAAACTTATTTTACTAATATTGCTGCACGGGCCATCCGGAACATCGGTTCTTATTTGAATATATTGCTCCCCAGTTCTTGTCCAACTTGTAACCGTGGCACTTTGGTCTGATATGTAACATACTCTAACTGGTTGTTATAATTGCAGATTTCAACGGTATCGGTCATGTATTTCGTATTCCAGATGTCCCCACGACATCTGCTTGACTCTTCACCGCTTCTCCAATTGTCAACTGTCAAAATGTGCTGGAAAACGCTAACCCATTGCGACGGGAAACCTTCCTGTACACAGAATGCTAGGGAACTATTCAAGTGAGAAATACTAACAGTCGCTTTATTATCTGCCATGATGTACGAGAGTTCGTGATCGCAATCATAGTTCGATGAAAACACTTCAGTTTGTTTAAAATTCATTTTCTGTGTAGCTGAATTCCATTCAACGTTTAGATAATTTTTTTCGGTACCAATATCTTCACGTTGAACTGTGGCAATGTCCAAAGTGGCGCTGAATGAAGCATAAAACACGGCATTTGATTTTACATCCTCAACTGACTTCACTCCGAAATATATCCCGAGGACCAGTGCAAGTATACACACAAAAAGTAAAACAATTAACGCAATCCAAGTATAGCGATTCATAGCTACTAGCTTATGTACAGAAGAAATCTTGATCTCAAAACATGCGCTGTAGAACGCTGATGCCAAACAGTATTGAAGGATCGTCGGTCTGGAACGAGATAATACATTCTGTTATCAATCTATATGAACTGATGTTACAGTTCGCTTTATTATGCTACATGCTTGTACATAGACTGCTCTGGAAAGATTAACTACTATCGATAAATATTTAAATCCTTTATGAAATCCCCTTTATTTCAATAATATTCAGTGAATTAACACCATAAGGGTGGACTGTTCATGTCAACTCAGCATAAGGTAATAATTGTATAATGATGAGCTGTATATAGTAGTGAGTGACAAGATATGCTAAGTATAACAAATACATACGATATGTGATGAATTGGTGACGACGAAGTGACGTCATGATATCCGTGCTGTAAGATAGAGATAGACATTAGTTGGTGTGCAGTGAGAAGTATTTTAGAAGATCCGTACGAGTTGGTGAGGTTTGGTCGAGTAATTGATAAGAACAGAATGAGTGTGCTGTGAGATATGGTTGAATCGATAGTACGATATGAATTGGCATGCTATATCGTTTACAATGAGAGATGAAAATGATTGCTTATAGACTATAGTAACCCAAGTACATAGTGTGAAATTATCTAAACTATTAAACACTGTAACACAATAAAAAGTTACAACGAAGATGATTGTACACTGCATGCCTGAGCATGAACCCTTTTATATTGGAATGAAAGTACTATTTACTTCAAACATGTTAAATTCTTTGTGACCGTGACAGGAAATCGGAGCCACATCTGAGCAAAAAATAATTACGTTTGCGTTTTAAAACGTCTGAAAATCAAACTTTCGTTTTTACAGCCATGACATATGAAGCTGCATTAAAAGAATGAGCCAACACATAGGATTGAAAAAGAGACTTAGCATTTTAAATAAAAACAAATATAAAAAAACATAATGACTGTACATGTACATGGAAGCAAATATGTGTGCAGTATATTTACCGTAAAAGAAGAGATACCAAGTTATGAACATAAAAAACATTGATTAAATATGTACGCATTCTAAACAATGGTAAAGAATAAATTCACTTACGTTTGTTCGACGTGTGCTGCGGATTGGAGACTTTTGCAATGTCCGTAACAATGATAGAGTGCTTGGAAATATATAGGTTCATTAACAATGCAGAACCATTGAAGGAGCGGGTAGAAGCTAAAGAATTCTGGTAATTATTCTTATTTCTTTCACTTCTTCGGCCGACGAGGTTTCCGACATGTTTTTCGAAAACCGTAGAGCAGAATTCCACGAAACTTTATATGGGTATTCGCACAATACACTAAATATTATGTGCGCACATCGTGTATACATTGTGCACAAAGGGCACATCGTACCCTTTTGCGCTTGTTTCTGTACACATGTGTTGTTTGGTAAAATTGATCGTTCAATATTACGGAATGAACAAAATACGGAAGACTAGTTTAAAATAAGATGCATTGTATAAATATATATTAAATATATTATATTTAATTCTATTTATCAGTATAATGTGCCCTTTTGTTTTTTTATATTGCGTCTTACACAGAATTTAAGAAACTTAAAAATTGTCAATAATGGGCCTGACGCCAAGGAAACAGAACAGGTAAATAACATTTTAATAAGTCATTGGATTTTGTCTAGCCTGTGCCAAACACAGAGAGTTGATCAGTGATGAAAGAAAAAAACATTTATTTACGTTCATGAGGCGCATGCTGCGGATTGGAGACTATTGCAAGATGGTTTAAATCAAGGAGTACTTTGGTATTTATAGGTTCCTTAACAATGCAGAACTAGTAGCGGGTAGAAACCAATTCCGAGAATAGGATGTGAAGATACAATCAAACATTCTCAGTATAATTCCTATATCAAGTAAGGCATTAAGGAAGTCAATCTTGATAAAAACTGAGGATATTGTTGGTGATCATGATATTGAGGTCAGCAATGTGATATTGATTATGATTGTTATAAATGATGAGGATGACGATGTATTATTGTTGACAAGAATTAATATTAATGATAATGACGTAGATGAATGAATGATAATTACCATGATAATTAATAATTAGGAATGCTGCAAGTTAATTATTGATGATGGTATCATTGCTTGATTGACGTGAATGATAAGGATAGATAAAGTTGATGAGGAAATTGAAGCGGGATGATGATGATGATGATGATGATGATGATGATGAATTTTGAAAAATTATTGAGGAGGATTATGATGTGATCAATGATTGCTTTTGATGTGAATGCAGAAGATTAAATGAGAAGATTAAATGCTGATGATTTATTTAGAAAAAATATTACAATTACAAAAAAGTATGTCAATCTTGCCCTCATTTTCAAATCTTATCGGACATTTATTTACCCCATGTGGAGCCCCATGTTTACCTGGCTTAGCCCTGCAAATTATTTATCCATGATACCCTCATCTGAAGTTTTGGTAATGAAAACATATTCAGACTTATCGTTTAGTGTTGTTTGTACTCTACTGTAAAGATTGATAAAGGGATGCCGACCACACCATCAAAAGCCTGAACAGATATTTAAAGTTAGCCCGATTTCAAAGTAGTGAAATGCCAACTTGCAAAGAAGAGCTTCGCTTCTAAGAGTACACATTTGGCTGATTTCAATGAAATAACAAAAGTGATGCACCAATCTGTGAATTAGTTATTTTTATCATGTTATGTTTCTCAGGATCAATATTAGCACATATGAGAGTGGAAATGTTTTGTTTTACATACCACTTTATTCTGAACGTAGGGATTCATTAACTAGCTTAGGTTACATATATTTATTTCCTGCGTGTATGTGCTGAGAGCTTAAAATACGTGAGCTAACTATCATGCTAATTAAAATATATTAATTGTAAATAGATTCCTAATAGGAAACTAGCTAAACATACTATGTATTTGTTGTTATTTATTGTTTGATTATTATGTTGACCGATTAACCAGTTACTCGGTCGGAAGTTTATTTTTGTAACCGGTTACAAATTACTAAAATGTGTCCGAATTGGCTACCATTATGTATTTAATTACTGATCAGTATAATGTGCACTATTCCATTATAATGCATGTTACACAGTTTTAAAGAAACTTTGAAACTGTCAAACAGTACAGGTAAATGACATTTTGATGGGTGACCGAATTTTGTCTAGCTTGAGCTCCAAGACTGACAAAAGATGGTTGATCGGTGATATCGTATGATCGCTATGACACATCTGGGTGACAAAAACTACCGTCAAGGTACATGTTCCAGACAGCTTTTGTTACCTGTATGCGTATATCGGTCGAGCGTGTGGGATAGACGTGTCGATTGTGAACGTTTATAAACCATGAAAAACACCATTTAAAATATGAAGATAGAAAGATAATTCATGGGTTCATATGAAGCTTAAATAGGGTAATGTACTTAAAATTAGATTATCAATAGGTTTAAAACGGTAAAAATATGTGTAAAAAACGTTGTGCTTTCTCATGGCTGTACATGTTTTTGTGAGTTCCTTACGCGCCATACCTCTTTAATCTATAAACTTGTGCGGACATCATCAAGATAGTACAGATATCCAAATAAAAAATGTATAAATCTTTACAGATATATGTACGTACATGACTATTTGTTCCGAATGAAATGACGTGTACATGCGTAGTGTCACTGTTATCATAAATCTACATGTATCATCCACAAGGTAGCGCGTACAGAGCCTTCGATTTAGCCATGAAATATTGCAGGGGTGCAGATAACGTAGGTCAGTGTAACTCCTGGAGTATTGAGGAACGTGTCGCCAGATGAATGACGAGTTTTATAAAATTCATGTAAAATGAAAATGTGTGCAATGTCCTTTTTATGGATTTTTTAACAATTGTTGCATATATTCGTGTAAACGATATTACTTTCACGTCATTTTGAAATTTAAAAAAGTCGTCATTATGACTCCAAGTTTGTTTCTTCTTGACGTCACAATGCCAATATTGGGGAAGTCTGTGACGACTTGCAATTTTCCCATATAGCTGAGAGGTCATAATTAAAAGAATGGAAACTTAGAGCCAAACACAGCGCTGATAGTTAGAAAAAGAAAACACTATCCAGTCCAAATATCCTGGACGGTGAGCATAACTCTCATTCATACAAACTGTAAAAGTCAGTGTTTCCATTTTACCCAAAAATGTTGAATTTTTAACATATAGCAAAAGGAGAAGTACTTGTATGTTCTGCTGGCAGTGACTGATATAATGTGTGAGTATCAATAATAACTAGAAATGATAAGTTGCAATGGACCTCTATGGGATAAAAGATGCAATCCTGTGCGCCCGGAGCTACAAGATTTCTACGGAGGTCCATGTTAGTGTTTGATAAAACATCATTATGCGACATCCTTGAGTTTTTTTATTGTATTTTATTGAATGCATTATATCTTCCACGAGATCAAACATATTTTGAATTACATCACATACTATTTTGTATATAGACAAACATCTTTCTTAATATATCTTTACATATGAAAACGATACTTTTAGGAACATTTGTGGGATCCTGACAAATGGATGAAACCACAAGTCTCCCAATGCAAAGTCCCATGTTGTCGTCACCACAGCGTCTATTCATAACTGACGAACACAATCAGTGTAGGTCATGCAGCTTTAAATGGTCATAATACCTCTCCATCACCGCTAGAAGTACGGGTGCTACTACATTGTACCTTTCCCAAACCAATTTCACTTTTGTTCAAATTCCTTTCCATTTAGTATTTGGTTGAAGAAAACGTATTACAACATCACCCCTGTGTTTTAACATGTCAGCCACATCAATCGGAATCCCCTTACCCTTTTAACAAGTTCACATAAAAATGAAGTGATAAACATTACAATGCAGTGTTAGATGTATTGAGGTTATATGTTTTAGGAAAGCGAGCCAATCTTGTGGCCATCTTGTATTTTGGACCATTGGGAAATAAGAGAGGATAACTTGTAATATGTTTGGTTATAGCAGCACAGATGACGTAAAACGTACAATAGCCCATCAGAGGCGATATCTATGGCATCTCACCGGGATACGAATCATACCAAACACTGAATGATAAACTGTCAGACCTTTTTATAAACATAGGAGCCTCTAAGTTTGCTATTAAGCTGCACAGAACTGACAAAGAAACCAATTGCCCATAAAAACATATGTAAAATTTTGACCACTGACCGTGGCTCTAACGAAATAAGGAAAAACGAATAATATCGAAAGCAAAAGGTCTTTTCAAGATGTTTGCGGTGAACCATGGGGGTTCCAGGAAAGCGTGGCGTGTGAAACGTTGTATGATCTAAAGACTGTCTATAGTGCAATCTACCATGGTCTAACAGTAGCTATATATGTGACTGAATCATTTCAGAGTTTTTTTCCACTGAGACACACATTAATGCAACAAGACGTCACGTGAAAACCCCATTAACAGTATGTGAGAAGATTGATTCATAGTATGTAGGTATTCGATTATTTTTTAGATGTACCCTTTTTAACACAAGATTAAGTGTTAGCCTACATATTAGTTATTACTTTCATAATTTTCTCAATCATATTACTCTTCTGTTTTTGTTGTTGTTACAGCAATCTATGTCGATGTAAAGAAAAATCATATTATTTATGATAAAAAGGGATGTCAACGTTAACGAAGTTTTCTAACGAAGGAGTCAGCCTGCTATCTACACCGGCTGTTGAATCTTGACGACTTATCATACGCTAATACAGACTAAAAAGAAAACAATACATTTACATATCATCAGTGAAACTATAAAGGACTATATTTTCCATTGCAAACACTGAAAGTTCACATGTCAATAAAGTGCCACAGTTTCACGGTGCTTCTTTGAAGGGTATCTCTGTCTACCAGTTAGGTTGTAGTAAGCAATATCTGTCAGTGACCGCTCAGCCTGTGACCGCTCCAGGTACTCTAGCCGATGGGCACTTTCACTAGGACCCCAGTCAGCAGTCGGCTGTGTTAAAATTCTCCATCTCTGTTTTTAAAAATTACACATAAACTATACAAATAATAGCCTTAACATACATGACTTAATTAAAATTCTACTTGAAATGACAACAGGAATCAAGGAGACACCAATGAGACCCGTTATAACCGTAGGACTGAATATATGTAGGTTACGCAGAAGAATGCGGGATATAAACTACATTAATTTATGTTTTTACTTTAATTAAACATCTCAAGGAGCCCCCAAAACTGTAACTAGGAATTCGAAGTGTATTTACATGCATGATCAAAAACTTTGCTTAATTACTTATGAAAATAAACTCATATACTGCCGAACTTTTTAACAAAATTATACTATCTGATATATTAGTTCCTAGATCTGCGATTAAGGGGAGTTAACTGTATGTATACAATACTCAGTGGATTTTTAATGTTTCGCCTGCAGTAGAACGGCTAGCATTAAGTAAAATCAACTAAAATTTCAATCTGCTGATGACACATTAAAGTCATATTGGTTATTGAAATGTCCAAAAGCCACACCAAAATATTTTTATGAAACCGTCAACCGTTATTTTGTATAAATAAAAAAGAAAAATTAACACACATTTTTTGCATAAATAGTTGACTAAATGATTGATTTTATTATACTATTATCTTATAATTGAGAACATTACCCCTTATTTCTCCCCGAGTCATATATGCTGCACATCAGCACTTATGTAAACAGTGGTTGTTGAAGGGGACTTAAAAATGTACAAAAACTTGATACCTCGGGATGGAACATTAAAATACCGCTCTGTACAATTAACTTAGTGACCGAAGTTGTTCTGTTGCATTCTCAATATCAACATCATTATATGAACTAAGCTGCCTTAAGGGCATGAAATCCCATAGAACATAGTAATCGATTACAATACCTGCTAGAGTGTTCCCGGTATTTTGGTGAATTGCCAGACGATGTGTAGAGGTATGGGAATGATAACAGAACACGAGATCACCCAGCCAATCACGCGTGTGTACTCCGGGTATTCGTATGAACCGTACATTGGTGGCCGATACTTTGCAAAGCTAACTAGGAGCAGCAGCTGAAAAAAGCGTATAACAAGAAATCATTCGACTGTTTTACATTGCGTCTATATCACTTATTATGACCTCAATGTTCTTCGTGTTGTTCTTACACGTTATTTAGAATGAAGTCGACAAGCTATGGTTACTAACATATCAAATTGACTCGAATAGCTATAAAATGATATATAAACTGGGAACGTTTGAGTGACGGACGTTCAGCATATCACACCACTTGGACAAATATCACCAACAATAAGCTACATATCTTTTTTCAATTAAAAAATGATTCAATAAAATGTATCTAATGTAAACATGTACAAAGAGAACGATTAGTTAAGTATAAAATGCGAATAACGAAAAAGTTGCTTGGACTCAACTTAACAGAGAACTTTAATCTAAGACTAATTCCATATTTACATACCAAGGTCAAGACAGGTGTTATAAAAACTGCTGCCAGGCGGAACACATGTGGCATTGTTCGTCCAATCATGTCTTTTAAACCATAATCGACACGATCACCTCCTAAAATAAATTCACCCAGTGTCAACATCACAAATCAGTTTGAGTTCTGAATGGAATAAGATATTTGTTATAATTAATCACTTAAAATATCGTTACCAAAAAATTGCGTTTATTGTTATATGACTTTCTTTGAATTCTTCATTTCGAAGTATAAATTGATGTGAATTTTAGCAAAATAGAACCGTTTTATTTGTTCGTAGGTTATTTCAATGTAAGGCTGACGAACTTAATTACCCGATGTTTGTTTCTAGTGTTTCTGTGAAATTGTTCAGAGTCAAGCGCTAATGTTTACGTTTTTCTCAAGTAGACGGAAGTAGAAAACATTTAGTTGTAAAAACGATCATATTTTCGTCAAGTGATGTGTACATTTGATAGAAGATAATATAAAACACAAGACTTTAACTAAAGGCTTATGTATGTATTTTTTTGTTGAAAAAACATCTCTGACATTTGCCATTTCTTAAAAGACTATTTGACTACGTAAGGAGATGAATAGTTAAAAACTTACCATAAAACCACATAATGGCGATAACCTCTAGTAGAGCTATCACGACAATGGACCATGTTGGCACGTACCAATCCACCAACAGGAACATGTACGGACCCGCCTAGAAACAAGTAATACATATTTCATTAAAACGGACTAATGCCTCTTTTTCTCTAACTATGAAAGAATGGGTGCACAGGGGTTTTACCCACTTTTACAGGAAATATGCGGAAACATATACGAACATCTACGCAGGGTTTTGAGGTAAAAATGTGATAGGTGGGAGACCTGGAGTTGTTGGTAGTTTAACCATACCAGGTTTCGCAATGTATGGTTTTCTGATTAAATTACGAGGTCGTTAATACAAAACATTAAGACGGGTACAAGTTTAGTTAATTTGCATGATTTCAATTAATGTTATTTTTTAAAGTTTAAGTTGAGTGAGAAGGACATGTTAAATGGACTTGGAGTTCCTACCTGTTTTTAAAAAATATATCAAAAACGCAGTCAACCATATTCGGTCAGATGGTGTAAAAAAGGAAATGCAGGGATATATTTCCGACCGCATTGTTTAAATTCAATTTAATTGAATGAACAATTGCATACCAACTATACATATCACATAACAAGAATCATAACATACACTGACTGTTTGGTATATTTGGACATTATTTTCGTTGTGGAATAAAACCTAATCGGTAGATTATATTTGATAAGCTCTCATGTAAACTCCACAAGCCTTGTATGTTTATTCTGCAAAGAGAGGAGTAGCGATGACGACAGTGAAGTCGTCACATCTGGAACAGAGAAGTGATCGTTATTATCATACTGATGTGTCAAGACCAACAGAAAAGTGTTTTAAAAAAAGTAGTGATTTATATACATGCAATAGATATTCAAAAATACATTGAAACAATGTATACATATGTGAAGGTCTGATTTTACCTGTGTGCAGAAAGGAAGGTTCAGTAGAAGGGACATGATGCTGACCAGTATCACCAGAATTATGTGACTGTGTCGTCCTAATCTAGCACTATATCCTTCCAGAAACGATACCACTGTCTCAGTATATACCACCTACAAACATTGACACACTACTACTGACTCAAAAGTAAATATTCACACATTTTACGTTTTTCAGAATAAAAAATTCTAACGTTGAGAAAGTTCTTACTAACACCAAACGTATATGCTTGACATATCCATATTTCAATATTTGATGTAATGATTAAAAAATACATTTAACAGTGATAAGTTCAACAAGATTGTATTACCGTTTATAATTATAATAACCTATAGCCAAATTCATGCAAACGTTATGTATCATATTATGTGTTATTCAGCATGTATAACAGAAGTATCACAAGAGCTTTCAATTACATGTTATAAATTAATAGTTTGTCCTACCTGCGCGTCAAATCCCACACAAAAACAGCAACGAAAAACACTACAGCCCAGACATAAGGCGCAGGTAGGTAGGTCAATGCCCGACTGTAGCCGACCAGGCCAATGGACATTCCTGCAGCACAAACGTAATACACGTTTAATTCAAGGACGTGCGCAATCACAACATGTTTTGCTTTGAGTTTTTTTTATACGGCAAAACCATCTGAACTGAAAGGATAACTTTTGCCTTCTCCGGGATAAATATTTTATTGATCCAACTATTAAGAACTCCAAAACAAAGGGTCAATGCCAACTTTCATCGAAACCTCTATATTTATTGTACTATATATGCATAAAGGATCCCTATCCCAATGCATTTTGGATTTTTGTAAATACATGTACCTTAACCTTTCTGTAATGTCAATTTAAATATAATTGTAGCACGACTGAGCCAGAACAGAACACCGTCGTCGTCCGAGGTATTGCAGTTGGTTAGAGAGACAGTACTACAACCTGGTGTCCAGGGTTTTAATCCTGGTCTAGCCCCGCTGATTGTTTCACACGTCGAATCCGGTTGTTGATTGTATTTTGTTTAGTTCATGTTTATAATTTTTCATAAAAGTCCTGGAAGAAATGGGTTTCTTTTCAGAAAGTACTTATTAAAGAAATAATAGTCATGCAGATTTTTTTTTTATCAAAATTAGTTACTTTTCTTTTTAGCAGTGGTACGAAGATGCTAAATTGTACATACATCGAGCATATACAACAAAACATTATAAATGATACAACTCAATCATCATTAGTTAAAAGACCGTATCTAACATACCGATATCGCATTCGATTATTACCTTATGTATATATAAATTATATACCTGACTTAACAACATCTTCGACCGGGACACCGATCTCGCTCGCCATCACACCCAGGACAGCAAACAAGACAAAGCTGCCGAATACTGCCATAAAGATATCGCCAATGATACTTATCAGCACATTTCTACAACGACAGTGATTAAATCCAAATGACGATGATAAATGTATCTATTTGCACATCAACAAAAATCAAGTCGTCGTTAATGACGATTAACATTTTTCCAGAGCGAGGTTTATATAGATGTTTATCGGTTTTCTCATTTATCTGAATCATGTGTTGCAATGGCATCCACGTAGATATGTATTGACTATCGCATAAAGCCATACCTAATTATTTTTTGAGAATCATTATGTAACAACGGGTACTGCTGATCCTTGAAAGTTGTCTGTTACTCTTATTGGATAACATGAACAACTTACAGACTAAGTGAACTGGGATTAGGGATACATGTATAATAATATTCACCACATCTGTTTAAATTGTAAACTTGCTACAGCCAAGGTCATGTAAAGACGGTGCCAACAAATGATGGGGGCACTAAAATGCCTCTTTACAGTGCTATCCCACTGACATGTCATAATCTGGACAAGGTAGTTTGACACTCTACCCAGTGACATTATACTGACAAAACGCTTACTAGTCTTTTACCTCCACTATGTTAAAGCTGACTATTAAGCAGAAGGGATGTTGGTGTAGATGGTAGCGGGGGTTACGGGTCAGGTACCAATTTAAACGACTTTGGTTTGTCTCGGTCAAAGGACAGAACCCATTGCCCTATTTGGTTCGGCGAACGATCAACATTGGCATTAGGAAAGGAAATTAATAATGATGAAAGGAAAGAAAGAAAACTTATGTTGCAGGACATAGGTGTAACATATTTATTTTAGTGTCTTTAGTGTTTCTCAAAAAGGACACTAAAGACACCCCCCCCCCCCACACACTTTGTGCAAGGGGTTCCCACATTGGTTACAGCATGTAGTGGTTACCAACATGTATTTTGTTCCTTAATCCACAGCCATTAAGGATGATTTATAATGGAATATAATAAACAAAACAAGTGTCTATTGATCGGTTGAATATGATTCTGTCGCATAAAATATCTCAAATGACTTCTGCTTCATAACAGCTAACATGGACTTAGATATTTCTGATTCTTACCTGTAACAATTAGAGTGAAATTTCATATGACTGCCCATCATTAGTATACCGCCCCAGCCTGGACCGAGACTGTAGAATGCCATGAACGACGCCTCTATCCAAACCTGGAACATTTATGAGTACATCAGTCGTCATATGTGACATAAACCACTTAATGCAATTTGTTGAATCCCACCATATAACTTTTATTAAAGTCGCTATGCATGTTGCCTCGCAATTTTAATGGAATAATGTTATTTATTTTTTTTACAAATGGAAACCTTTATATCAGGATTTTGATAAATATCACATTAAAAGTTAAACAATAACCTTCGAGTCAGCAAGTTTGGTGAAATCCGGTGTTATAAGGAAGAGAAGGCCATCTTTGGCGCCATTTTGAGTCAACGCTTGAATCAACATAGCCAATCCAACTAGCGGAGGGAAAATTGTTGTCAGAAGCATCAACTAGAACAGAAAATATTTTGTATTGTTATTGTTATTTTTTAAATTTATATAAACAATTTTGAAGGATTTTTCAATATAAATAACAGGGTTGTCAAACCGGTCAAATTTTGGTAACCGGTTACCCGAACATTCTTCCAACCGAGTATCCAGGTTAATCGGTCAAACAATAACCAACAACAAACACATTATATGTTTAGTACATGTTCTAAAACGTATTTACACCACAAACATACATGTATATATTAATGCATGATAGTTTACTCGCATATTTAAACAGAAACACAGGAAATAGTTTCAGGTATCCTCAGTAGGTATATTTCAAGAAAAACACATGTTGGAAGACAGTAAGGCGGGATTCAATTACATTTATCAGTCCTCAAAATCATGTGCACAAATATTGATATTTAGAACAAAATTTGACCAACAAACATTTTAAGACATGCTTGATTCTATTTACATATCGCATGTAAAAGCGAGTTCTACCTCCTAAAAATGATATTTCACAATTTTTTAATCTGGGTTCCTTTAGAAATTTGTTTCAAGGGAAACATGGGGCTCCCCAAAACGTTAAGTAAATATCCGACTATTCGGTTATTGATTTTGGTAAGTGGTTCTTGGTCTTTCGACCGAGTAACCGGTAAACCGGCTAATAACATTCGGTGATCAGCATATTTAAGCAAGATTTCAGTTATAAATATTTTGACATTGATAATTGTTTTTCTTTGATGAATATGTTATAATATGAAAATGTTTCATTTTATCTTGAAAAACTATTCTGTTCACACTGTCGTCATAACTTCTTAGCTTTAATGTTAACCTAAGTAATTCCAACTTTTGTTTGTTCAGATCCAGTGCCTACATTATCTTTAATCTACGGAATCAAATACAAAATTAGTAGATTATCTATTGCAGATATACCAACCTTTCCAACGGACTTGACGCTCTTCAAAAGACAAGCAATGATAATTATGTTGATGATGATGGTCCAAAGAACGAGGCGCCAGCGCAAAGACCCCACTTCCTCTACACCACTGGACAGCGATAGGATATTATGCCTGTAATAAAAATAAAAAGCGTATGAGAGTTTTATGTTGATAATACTAATACTTTATAAGATACGATATCCACTTTTAACCTTCAAATGAAATACTAGGGTAAAACCCAGCTCTGTGATGCATGACAGAGATTGGACTATCTGTGATGGATAGTTTTTACACATTTGACATGCCACGATATCCTAAAACGCCATCATAGGAGTAAATTTGTCATACAGTTTGGTAGTAGCATGACATAGCTGTGATATTTCAGGCAAACTTCGTGATATAAAGCCGAAGAAAAAGAAACTGTGACATGCAAGTCCTCCTCGAACTTAATCAGATTTAATGTATTTTCATATAGGTTTACACATTTATATGAAGTTCAAGCACTTGTATAAAATAAGACCAGAGTGAAAGTAAAAACAAAACCAATTTCTAATTCAAAATTTATGGCGCTATATTAATGTTGTATAATATTATTATTATTAAAATAGGACAGGTCTTACACAATGTCGATCATCGCTGGCATATAGGCAAATAATAACATTTGAACACCTACTGCCAAAACTCTTCCTCCGCTGTCACATCTGTAGTGAAGTTATGGTAACCGACAGTGTTTGTCGTGGAATTCCATAGGCTTTCATTAGTGCTTGAGGACAAGAGTGTATGTGACGCTCTGCATGAATTGGTATTCCATGTGTGTCCGCATGATGACCACGGTAGGTCAGTCGTAAATGACTGTCTCAGATACTCAAGTAGCCAGTAACGCATTGTAGATAAATAGCTGACGCAAAGTAAATTCAATAGAGCGATGGAAATCCCAATCCCTGTAACAAAAAAAAATATGTAATAATTTTTAAAATCATATTAAAATACGTTTGAGAAATTCACTATATTGCAAATCCAAATTATATGTAGTACCGCGCATGCATATTTCACAACAACACTTACTTGATGATTTACTAGGCAAAAGAGGATTGCTGTGGAAATGTCTTGCATAAAGTATACTGTACATATATTGATATTCGAATCATAGATGAAAGGATATATCTCTTTTAGAAACGAAGGTTCAAGTAAATGAAAGAATGAAAGATACATACATTCAAGTAGGGCATGAAAACGTTTTTCCGGCAAATGTTTTGACAAAAATCAAGGGAAAAAACACAAGTGCTTATATATCGTACAGTAAGATATTGAAATGGATTATGAAACAAATGTACAAAGATCACCTTTAAAGAGTGGGGCAAATCCCCATATTTCAAACAACCCTCTTCCTGAATATTGTCCGAGGAAGACTTCGAGAAAGTACAGGGGTACACCACCAGCAAGCAGAGCCGTCCCATAGGCCAGTAGGAACGCACCTGTTGGTAGCAAATCATTAGATAATACGATATCTGTGTCTTTGTCAATTAAATTCGTTTCAAACGGAAATGGTTTCTACTAATTAATAAATATTATGATGACATATTATGGCACATAAACTCATTACAAAACGAAAACACTGTGATGTTTATTTCAAATTTTAAAGATCAAACTGAACTATAACGGTAACTGACACGTTATGCAAATGATATCATATAAAGCATACAGCATTGTTAATAACATCAAATATAGGCTCATAATATATGCCAGATCATATTTTTAGATACGATATCGAATGTCTACTAATGCAGACAGTAATGAAATAACTACATGTAAGTACAGGTCTAGTCATCCATCCTACGTATATCAATACACAGCTACAAATGTACATGGTGATTCCCACAATAGCTGGAAGACAATAGCTTGAACACAATAGCTGGAACACAATAGCTTGAACACAATAGCTTGAACACAATAGCTTGAACGCTTTTTAAAGAAAGTTTCAGGAACACCAATTTTTTACAACAATGAAACAACAAATGCCTTTAGGTTTCTATTTACAGAGTTCATTAAGTTAAGTAGGGTTTACTTGGAAATTTAACCCGAAACGGAACACCTTATCGTATAAGTTTATTCATCAAAACATTTATCTTCACAACCACCGTTGCATGTTAATAAATATGACAGGTTTTGCATTGTCGCACCGTCCGATTTCCCGAGAATATATTTTTTCTTTTTTTCTTTTTCTGTTTTAGTCATGAGCAGGATACAAGAGGTAGGCTGATAAAGTTTGCTTTAAATTGCTTGAAACTATATCAACTGTGATTTGGAACAGATACCATTTATTTGTATTGCAAAATAGACTGCATCACATATATGAAAATTGCTCCTGTTTGGATACCGTTCCATTTTGGGTACCCTCACGTCACAGTTTCTATAATTCCATTGGCATTGTACTCATGTAAATATTTATTAATATAGGATGCAGTTGAAAGATACAATGATGTTCACCTAGCATTGAATGAAACCTATCTTTGAAAAGATTTTTCGCGATAGGTGTTGAATATGTATTAAATGTGTTTAATTCTTTTTATTGGGTTATTGACTTAAGTTACCTATGACACATTACATTTTTGTTTTGCTATTCTTTTCATGTTCGTGCAAAATGTATGAAAACAATATAGAAAATATTAACGAGTCACTGTGTAAAACTATAATTTCTATGTACATATTGATTGTTGATACATTTAATTTACCAGTACATGTACTTCCTCAATTCAAACAGTTCCGAGCTTACAGTTTTTTTTTGTATTGAACATATTTTGAATACATTAAATGAAAACGTATTACAATTTCGTTAGTACTACAAGAAAAATGCTAATCTCAAAAATGTTATAGGTCTGTAAATATCCCTTGTGTTTCCTTCATCTTTTTCATCATTTATGCAAAATGTTTTCTATCAAACTTACATGTGTTTACAATGAACATCATATATATCCACTAATTTATTGAACCTGTTGTCGGGAAACATGAGTTTTTGTTTGCCTGAGATTAATTATGCGAAGCCCAACATGACATTTCGAAGGCAAAAAAGGATCTTGTGTTTTCTTACCACAAGGACAATAGATATTTTGTAATACCAAAATAAAACAAACATAACAACTGTGAAGATGGTAAAGTAGACACGCTATTGTTTGCGGTTGCTTCAGTATCTCGGATTTCAGGTGATTTGGGTTTTGCCCGTTTTTCTCGAGAGGCTCCGAATAAGGGAAGCATGACCGAGGAAATCGAGACAGTTAGGACGACACAACGTTTTATTTCCACAACATATGATCTATTAGGAATTCCTTTTTCTGACGAGGGATATACTTTAACAGCCAGAACTATAACTTCATTTATGTGTTATGACTCGTGCAATCAAATGCATTGGGGGATTACTTTAAAAAGAACTTGATTGAAATTGTATTGAATATTTCCTACTTACCCCCTCCGTTTCTCCATATGAGATAAGGAACTCTCCAGAAATCCGAAATTCCTGCAGAAAAGCCGATCAGCGAAGCCACAAATTCAAGTGTGCTGCTCCATGTAATTCGCTGATTTGACATGGACTCGTCCAAAATGACATTGGTGTCGCATTCAGGAGAATGTTTGTCTTTGGCGTCTTTTGTCATGTCTTTTTTCTTAGAACAAAATCTCCCTCAGTCAACTTAATGCAAAGGTACTGTAAATGTCCTATTGTATCATATATTATAAAATTATCCGTTCTTTTCTGAGGGCTTTGGGTTTGTTAAGTTCAAATTCGGGGACAGCAGTAATGAAAACAAAATCACTGAATGGTAAATAATAATAATAATAATAATATACAGCATTTGATATAGCGCCCTATCTAGCTAACATAAGCCACTCTAAAGCGCTGTACAGTACATAGATTAGCAATTTTATACAGTCAATACAATTAGCATATATATTAATCAATACAATATTGAGGAATTCGCAGGAGCTGCCTTATTAGGCGCTAACTACTAGTCCTATGCCACCTGGCTAATATCTCCCTATGAGTGTATGCCTGTGTGTGTGCTGGAGATGTATTGTGTTCTCTTTGTAGTGGGACCGTGCTTTCAACGGTATCATTTATAGTGCCACCTCACTTGAATGCTTCAGCACAGATACCGCAACACCCACCCCAGACCATTTTATACTCCACTTGGGTTGTTGGAGTTGTGTGGGCAGGAGAAAAACACTTTCTCTAATATTCCATGCGTACGGCGACTACGGGGATCGAACCCCGGCCGCCTGCTTGGAAGGCCGGAGTGTTAACCACTCGACCAATCCGCCCATGGTAATTGTTGCAACATGTACAATTTATTTTAAACTTATCCCTGTATTTAGGAGGAGAAGCTCTCGCTTAAAGGGCCTGCTACCTGCCACATCGCATTGGAAACTATTATAGCAGATTGTTATTTCTTCGTTCTTCGAGTACACAACTAACTTTTAAAAATACCAAAGGTATAAAATACAAACACATATTGAAGCAAAATTAAAATAACAATTGTGATGTGAAATTTGATATGGTGATGCAAATTCTAAATAACGATAAATGATCAATCTTCAAACGTCGTTGTGTTATCTACGATCAAAATGAAGAGTCTTTCAACGTCCTATATGTCTTTTAAGTATTAAAAATATGAAAACCAGTCCAGCCGTAGAGGAAAATGTCTCCTATTTATGTTAGTGACAGACTTTTACCCTGTTTAAATATAGGGTGATTTGAACTAAATAAACAGTTCAAACCCTGGCATCATGCCTCATCTTGGAAACTGAAATTGTTATAGAATAAGTCCCTACAACTGTCTTTCCTTTGCTTTACTATTTATATTCAACACAAAAGGTGTGTTGCAGAATTTTATTTTCTCTGATAGCTACAGACATATCCTGACGTGCAAACGTTTATCACGTCCTCTGCTGCATCGGTTAAGGTAAGCTGATTTAAGGAGGTACGGTAGTCTAGTGGTAGGACGCCGGGCTCGTAGCCGTAGGTTTGAGGGTTCGATTCACGGCGCTGCGCTGTGTTGTATCATTGAGCAAGATACTTTACTCCCCAAGGAGATGACAAAGATATTAGCTGGTTGGTTGCCAAAGCACTATAGGATAAATACAGATAATAATTTATGAACCGCTTTGAGACGACCTGCAAACTAGGTTGTGATAAAGCGGTATATAAGAACCTCGAATTATAATGATTATTTTCAGGTGTTATGGCAGACATCATAAGGCATTTCGCTTCAATCCATCACATGATGAAGGATGTCTACCTTGCATGCTTATAAACTATACACTATCGTCTAATTGCTACGCAGGGTATTTTTCAGTTTGTACAAACACATACCAAATTTATAAGTGTCACTGATATAAACGATCATGAACTTGATTCCCGGCGGATATTTAACAATTATATGACCCTGAAAAGTTTAAGCAAACAAAGGCAGTTTTATGTAGTTTGTCCCAAAACAAATCATAACACATACCTGAATCCTGTCGGCTGCTCTCCGTTGTAACTCTATTTAACTTCACCTTATACGCTGAAAAATATAAAAAAAATCAATCGTTCTGCTTTGTTGACGTTAAAAATACACAATTCTGTCAACTATGACTGTGTGTTATATAACACAGATGTTATTACAAAACTTCAATAGCCATCAAAAGAGTTCAAACTACGCCATTTTGATACCTAATTAATACATTACAGGCATATATACATCATTCGTTGGTATGTCTGGGGATGAGCTGCCCCAGCTACAACTCACAATACAATATTTTTACTCATATTCCTTATTTCTTAAAATAATTTATTTTCATTTCATGTTTATTTGATCAGGTTTCCTGTTTAATTAGAATCATAACATAGCAATTATTATAACAATAATTTGAAACACACACACGCACACTCACCCACCCACACACCCACCCACACAGCACTTGCACACCTGCACACACAAGCACACACAATCACACACAATCACACTCGCAACATCTGCACACACAATTACACCATCTCTCTGGCACTTGCATAAATGTGTATATTTATACTTAACCCTCGGATATTGATTTCATTACCATATGCAAATTATGAAATGAAGTGCTAGCTTTTTTGTTTTACTTATTTTTTTTGCAGATCTTTGTACAATGCTGTTCTGTTTACGTCCTTCAATACTTTCCATGGTAGATACTCGAGTGAATGGTAACAATACCACGCTTTGATATCGTTAGAAGGCACAAATCGGTATGTACAAAATGAGTTGTCCATTTGCAACTTCATTTCATCTTCGAAGGAAAGAAGTGTAGACTGAATGTAATTTCGATCAAATCCTATACCACATAAGAATTCTAGTAACCATGGGATCCATTTATGTACATCATGACATAATGAACATTGTCGGTTCTTGAATGTTACATTGGTACCAGTGTCAAACACAGGAAATAGGTCTAAGAGGTCTTTGTCAGTAGCCTGCTCACATTTATACTTGACGTCGTCATCAACTATCCATGACGCAGGGCAAGATGACACCATGAATGCTCCCCATGGACTGGGAGGCGTTTCGGTAAAGGTTGTATATTAACAAAGTAGTCTCCTTGATTCACGGTATATACAATTTAGCCATTTCTGTTCTTTCTTCGGATAATCCGTCGGCATTAAAACAGCAGTCATCGTATTATCAGAGATAACGAACAATCAAATATTCAGTTTTAAAACATTGTTTTAATATTCTTTCAACAATTATGAATAACCCTATACATAAGCCAATAAACTGTGATAAATCTGTTGCCTTTATGCTATGTTTAGCATGGCTTCGGCACCAAAAGGTTACCACCCAAAATTGTGTAAAAAAAAATAAAAAAATAGATAAATGTGTGACAATATCTGTCAATAAGCTTTATAAAGAAATGACTCTGTGGGCAGCCGTCATTTTGAAAAGTTTGCCCAGAAATTAACCCCCTTTTAATGTCAAATTAGCAAGGAATACTTGCTCAAAGTCACAAAATTTAGCAAACGGTTTTTCAAAATTGCCGGAAAATCACTCCATAAAAAACAAATGTTCCAATTTGCAGGAAAATCCCTGCCGTGAACGGCTCCAAAATACACCCCTTCCCTAATCAGATATGGAAGGGTAGCTAAAGCAGCCAATGCCACAATCACCAATGCACTGTAGTCTATCAACCACTGAATTGGTATTGACTGCAAAAAATAACCACCTTTTAAACCCTGACAATGCAAGACATCTGTGAAAAAGCGAATTAGACTAGTATCTAGAGACCGGTTTACCTCCAAAATGACAAAACAATGGACCCCCAACTTATGGACGGACTGACAAGTAGGCTCTGACTCGTTTAACCGGTAAGGGTGATGTGCCCGTTGGAAACTCCAAAACAACCCCTTTTCCTCAGGGATTTCCCTACCATATTTTTTCCCGGGTCCAGGGGCCAATGAATTGGGGATTTTTACGTGGAAAATTGGAGAAAAATGAGGGGAAATAAATTTTTATACATTTTCCAGTTTCTGTTATTTCATTTTACTTCTTATCATGAGAAATTGCATTCTTTGATATCTGAATTTCTTATTTATTTTTCAATGCATAAGCTTAGGTCTACAGTTAAACTCTAGTATATTTAATATAGGCTTGTAAAATATTCTGATAGCCAGAATAATTTTTGACTATTTTAATATACTATATCAAATATATACGGTAGTTGTAATATTTGTCCATCTCTAAAACGAAAAACTTTGATTTTAATTTATAAAAAATACTGAATTAGTTACACAGATTGCTTCTTTGATTGCTAGTATCACTTTCTCAAGTAATACATGCTGTAAGTTTGTTTTACTCCAACTTTAATCACACAGGCGAGACAAACAAAGCAAAGTTTTACAACATCAATGCAACGGAAATAACTTGATAACATTCTGATGTATACTTTTGAAATTTGATTTTCAAAGGATTAAAAGATATTTTTACTTTTCTTACGGACAAGAATGTTTTTATATCTTCCCTCTCCACACTGAGCATATTCATATCCTACAAAAATTGCCATCCGATTGGAAATATTTCAATGGCAAATTGGGATTTTGAGCAAGATTTTCCGCCAAGAATCTATTGTAGGAAAATCCCTGTGTAACCTTCTTGATAGAATTGGGCAACACCAACTGCATGAGTCATTGTACAACAGCCTAACATTATCGCTGAAAAAAGTTTGGTATCGTGCACTGAAAAACATACTGCAGGGATGGAGTGAAGTATTTTAACCAGGATATCTAGTGTGATTGGTAAACGAGAGTCTGATTTCTTATTCAAACGAGACATGCCCCGCAACATTTTCTTAACAACAAGATTGTCTGTGTGAACTCTATTAGAAGATGAAAGTTTTTGCTTTGAACTCAACCAGTTTGGCTTGTTGAATTCTGACCGCCATATCCAGTGTATTAATTTCCAAATAAATTGACATAAAAATAAAAAAGGCATCAGTCCATGCCTGAATGTCAGTTATTTCTTTGCCTGGTTCCTTATTGACAATATTGATTTCCCCATCAACCAAACCAATTCTCTTAGCTTGCTCATCAATCAGGGTTGACCAACATTGCTTTCAAATCAACATTTTCCCCATTTATTATTTTCTGTTTCAATTTGAGAGAAACATTGGGCCCTAATGAGCTATGAACACTGACAACCCGATAAGGATCCAAGTCATCAGTGTTGTAGGTAGGGAGATTACCTGCATTACTTGATGCAGCTGCTCTAGACACAATCTCAATGCTCTGGTCCAATCATTTTTCCTCGACATTATCTGCAACGTGCTGCTCCAACTGGCCTTTGGAAACTGTAATCTGGTCAGACTCGGCATCCTTGTGTTGACCTATATCTACATCCACCACCTGGCTGGGTATCACTATGTCGAGGTCATAGGGCTTCTCTTTCGTCTCTTCCTCTGACTTAACCTCCTAGGCTGGACGTTCTTCCCTCTCGGCATACCCCTTGATATAACTGTCCTCAAATATTGTGATGTTGGCTGATAGCCTGTTGATTTTCTGATTTTCTGAACCGCTCTCATACAGCTCCTGGCAGGGTCTGTGAAGATTGTGTGTGATAAGGGGAGATAACTCTCGGCTATGGTATTGAGAAAGAACGACAACTCAGGATCTGGTAATAAGGCACAACACCACCAAATATCTCTGTACTCTGATAAACAGATTTATTTATTATCAAATAAATCCCAATATTTGCATTAAGTTGCAGTAAGTTTTTATTTTTTGAGGATTTTCACAGAAATGAAACATTGCATAACAAGAATAAAACATAGGGGAATAAAATTCTGTTATCGACAACAACAAAAAGTTCCGATAAGAAGTACAGTTGTGGGAACGCACAACGTTACACGATGTGCGGTGTGAACGATGTATGCACGATGTGCGAACGATTGAAATCTGGACGATTATTGCTTGTGCATATTTGTGCGGACGATGGACGAACGATGTGTGATGACAATCGTGGTTGGTGTAAATTGAGAAATGGTTTAACATTAAATACGGCCTAGTGTTTAAGCATATAAACTTGATTTCTATATTCTATCTACATATGTGGAAGTTGAGATGTTTTCTTTGTTAAACCCAGCCGTGGTGGAATTGTGCTTGGTGATAGTGTGCGTAGTGGTATGTGTGTGTATAAGTAAACAATTATGTATTGATGGATACCTTTTGTTATGTAATTACTTCATTTGTCGTCGTTGTGTATTGTACGGCTACCGGAGGGAAAGTCTTGTTCATTTACATCCGGGTTTTCACTACCGCTCCTCTCCTAGCGTCTTCTATAAACTGTCATTCGATTGGCTGACCTCTCAACTGTCTCTCACTTGTATTCCCTAGTCCATTTCTACCCTTTACTATAATAAAACATGTCTAAATGTTACTCATGGGTTGTTAATATTTACTTCAGCCATACTACACATATATCAGCTGATCTTTCTATCTATATTTTCTTGATTTAGAAATGGGTTTTTCGGTGTTTTTTAAGTGACCCAAATCGACACATGTAAAATAGATCATTCACGTATTGACACGGTCACGTATACTGGTAAATATAGCTATTTTGTATCTGTTCCTTGACCGTAGTTTTCCACACCCGGGGCACTTACATAACTCGCCAAGGTGTGAAAATCCAGGTGAAGTGGTGCTATAGACCAAAACGAATGCAAATAACAAATACTTAACGTCCAATTGTGCTTTCATAACGGTCATACGGTATCACATATCAACTTGTAAGGCACGGGTCAGGTAAAACTCCGGTCAATCATAAAAATGTTATTTACTTGTTCTGTTAACTGGAAGCTGAACCAATTCCTGATAGTCTAACGGTCACTGTAATGCTGTGTAACACTCATTGTAAAATTAAACATAATCCTAATTAATTTGATGAGCAATTTATATATACAGTGTTCCTTATTCCATATGTGGGCTCCGGATGTTTTTCATTCCGTAATATTGATCAACTAATTCTACCAAATCGCACATTGGTGCGGAGAGAAACGCACAACGCGGCGAACGATTGTTAAATCGCACAGTTGTGCGCACCATGTGTGGACTATGTGCGGATGGTGTGTGCACGAAAATATTGGTCCTTTTGATATATTTTATATATTTTATTCATATACTCCATGTTTAACTCGCAATGGTGACATTTTGTGTTGATAGCTTATGTTAGCTGTCTTTCGAAGGCTTTCGCTTTTCCCAAAAATTACACCTGTAACTAAGGGTGAAAAACGTCATAATTGATCACAGCATAGTTGGCAATTAAGTGCCATATGTCGTGGTGTGTCATCGGTCTTTCGCGTTAAGTCATTTTCCCATTTAAATTTTATGTTAATTTACTTAAAAATACACCTGTTATTTTGCTTGACATGCACTTTTGATACTATCTTCACGCCCTGTTAAAGAATATTTAATGTTTCTTCAGATACTATTACCATTGTATTATGCAGCTTTGTTATATGAGATATCTATATTCATCCCAGCATAAAAGTTATATTTTGACGTCATTCGCATATATAAACAATTTGAAATTCTGACTTCACGTTACTTAAACCAATTAATTATTTATGGTAAGAATGCTATGGAATAGTTAAATAAATTGATAAAACCTTTAAAAGCGCCAAACATTCTGTAGAGGTGTGCCAAATTTGGATCTACTTTTTGACTAAAAGCGAAGATAGTAAAATGAAATAAAGAAGATAAATTAACATAAAATCGAATGAAAAAAATATAATTAACATGAAAAAAGTATGGCACGTTATTTTTGTGTTCCGTTGCTATAGTAATCCCATTGTTCTTATTATATCTTATAACACTAGTACTATATGTTATCTGCTTGTTGGTTAAAGTATAACAATATGAATAGCAATGTATCTGCATTATACTGTGTTTTTTTTCCAATTTTCAACAACGCTGTCTTAAACGATGTAACAAAAATCTAAAGGTTTTGTCGCTATCAAATTTCTTGAATATGTCTTTAGGACAAAAATGAAATAATACATAATGTGCTGTAACATTCTCCAGAAATTGCTTTTTCGGTAACTGGAATTTTTGTTTGTGTTTTACTCTGACACTATGCTGATGCTACGCAGATTTTTTTTTTTATCAAATCCAATCACACCTGATCTGTCATATATACCTGCACATTCCTAGCTAGAATCTGAAAAATATACTTCTACATGTTAGCTAGAATCTGAAAAATATACTTCTACATGTTACAATATGTTACATCTACAAATAGTTACCTACATTTTACACTCGAGATGTAGGTAACGTGCAGTAATGTTTGACATAACTTCAAAACTGTTGCATAATAATGCATAATACGTAGTTTGTATGTTGACCGGCTTTAAATTGCAAATTTCAACCTGTTTCAGGTTAGTTTAAAGGGAAACCTAAAAATGCATAATAGTAAAACAATGAGAGTATGAATCCTCCAGAATTTCACTGTAAAATGTGCTTAAATTAAACATTCTAGTAATTGTACAAATACAGTAAAACAAGGGGAGCATACGTATTTTCGTTATCATTCAATGAAATATATATACTATACATGTATAAGAAATATAGATATATATAAACATTACACTTCTCATAGTTTTAAACCAATTAGGAAGGTTCTTTCATCGCCATTAGGTTAATCAAATAGTATACCGTAGCATATCTACATAAAAACGTTACAGAAGGACATAGATTTATCAAGGCCGCTAGGAGCTCCAATGTTAAAATAAAATAAAAGTATGTGCCTTCGGCCCAGCAGCTGGTTACTTATATTTAAAACAATGCTGTCTATTGTAAAAACAAATCATGTGTTTAGAAGTCGAATTCATGAAACCGACTTTAACCCGGAATGTGAGATATAACGTCTGCATCAAACGTCATTGTTTAAAGGCTTATCGAGCCAGAAATCAGAGGTTTTAATGGGCGGTTGTTTTAAAAGCTCATTGGATTATGCAGTCATCCTTAAAAGATGCAGATTGTTTAATCAAATTTACAGTGGCATTATTCTCCGGTGCAGCTTAATGTGTTGGCAGTTATATACAGCTGGTATTAACATACAGCAGGTCTTTCATGCAATTTTAGTTTAATAACATTTTATTTTATTTTCAAAAAATGTTCTTGCTACTCTTGTAATGATTATCCTTTTATACAATTAGACCAAGAAAACTTTTGTGTTGATTTTCCACGAAAATGTATCGAATGTTGTCATTTTGGAAAACGAACTCTAAAAAAGGTTAGTTTATGAATTTTTACCATCCTTTTTTCGTATAAGGACCAACTTAATAATCCGTACGCAAGGGATAGTAAAAAGTACGAGAGATCTTTTTTAGTTGGCCATGATACGCCGATGAACCTCTGTAATTCAATGTTAACCGTGTTTTGTTTAATTTGCTCACTTTATCAAAAAGGTGTTAGAATTAAACAACATATAGTTACATATGTAGCTTGTCAACCTATGAATTAAGCAGGATACTGTCTCAGTGCTACTTTGAGTGCAAACTAGGAACGAAAGGATGGAATATACAATATAAAGTACTCGAATGGTTAATAATGATTGCAAAACAAAATATATATAAGCACAAATATACAATATAATATAAAGGTTAATAATGATAGCAAGAAAGAATATATGCAATGCACGAATATACAATATACTCGAACGGTTACTAATGATAGCAAGAAAGAATATATGCAAGTCACGAATATACAATGTACTCGAACGGATAATAATGATAGCAAGAGAGAATATATGCAAGGCACCAATATACAATATACTCGAATGGTTAATAACGATAGCAAGAAAGAATATATGCAAGGCACCAATATACAATATACTCGAATGGTTAATAATGATAGCTTGAAAGAATATATGCAAGGCACAAATAAACAATATACTCGAATGGTTAATAATGATAGCTTGAAAGAATATATGCAAGGCACGAATAAACAATATACTCGAATGGTTAATAATGATAGCTTGAAAGAATATATGCAAGGCACAAATAAACAATATACTCGAATGGTTAATAATGATAGCTTGAAAGAATATATGCAAGGCACGAATAAACAATATACTCGAATGGTTAATAATGATAGCAAGAAAGAATATTTGCAAGGCACGAATATACAATATACTCGAATGGTTAATAATGATAGCTTGAAAGAATATATGCAAGGCACGAATAAACAATATACTCGAATGGTTAATAATGATAGCGAGAAAGAATATATGCAAGTCACGAATATACAATGTACTCGAACGGATGATAATGATAGCAAGAAAGAATATATGCAATGCACGAATATACAATATTCTCGAATGGTTAATAACGATAGCAAGAAAGAATATATGCAAGGCACGAATATCCAATATACTCGAACGGATAATAATGATAGCAAGAGAGAATATATGCAAGGCACCAATATACAATATACTCGAATGGTTAATAACGATAGCAAGAAAGAATATATGCAAGGCACGAATAAACAATATACTCGAATGGTTAATAATGATAGCTTGAAAGAATATATGCAAGGCACAAATAAACAATATACTCGAATGGTTAATAATGATAGCTTGAAAGAATATATGCAAGGCACGAATAAACAATATACTCGAATGGTTAATAATGATAGCAAGAAAGAATATATACAAGGCACGAATAAACAATATACTCGAACGGATAATAATGATAACAAGAAAGAATATATGCAATGCACGAATATACAATATCCTCGAACGGTTAATAATGATAGCAAGAAAGAATATATGCAAGGCACGAATAAACAATATACTCGAACGGATAATAATGATAGCAAGAAAGAATATATGCAAGGCACCAATATACAATATACTCGAATGGTTAATAATGATAGCAAGAAAGAATATATGCAAGGCACGATTATATGATATATTCGATGGTTAATAATGATAGCAAGAACATATATATATAAGACACGAATAAACAATAAACTCGAACGATTAATAATGATAGCAAGAAAAAATAAACACAAGGCACCGTTTACATTAAAACGTTTATTTACAGAACAAATTGCACATACTCCACATGAAATCTACCTTCCGATAATGCCACCGGTGTTTACACCTCCGCTACCGGAAGTGCCCTCAGTCCTGAAATAATAAAAATGTTCCTCAACAGTATAACAATAGTTTTTGATTGTATATTTTCAGGAAATGTTACACATGTAACTAAAAAAACACATAACGTGAGGGTTCTCATAATACAGCAGTTGATTTTCCTTTTTGGTTTCTATAACACCAAATACTTTACTATGATGAAACAAAACATGCCTTTAGTTTTCATTTGTAGTATTTCTTGGGCATCACCGGCGTATATGTTTATTCATAGAGCTAAATAAGTTGGGTGAGGTTTAGCTTGCAGGGTACCCAAAATGGAACATCTGATCACGTGGGTCAATTAATGAAAATAACTAACTGCATTAAACTATTTTCTTTTGCTACATTTCATAAACAAAGATGACACTTTCTGATAAATTTTAGTCATTTCTTTTCAAGATATCCATTTCAAAACATTTTCGTTATAGTAAATGTATAGGATATTGACGTTGTTGCACCGTACCCTTTACATGTATGAGATAGGCAAAGTTTGCCCCATTCGCCTAAAACCATGAAAATTTTGGCGTAGACTAAATACCATTCATCTGTATTGCAAAATATAATGCTGCATCATATATGTCAAATTATTCAATTTGGGGTACCGTTGCATTTTTGGTACACCCTCGTTATTTATTAATTCAGACAACTGCAGCACATAAAACTCTGACGCATAAAGTAAATACATGTATTAATCATACATGAAATTAAATACATGTATTAATCATATATGAAATTAAATACATGTATTAATCATACATGAAATTAAATACATGTATTCATACAAGTGTAAACCATACAATTACCTTATGTCTATATATAACAACAGAAATACATGGTTCTGTAACACACAACTGAATACAATTAAATACATGGATATGTTCAAATCTAATACATACAATACAAACATGTGTGTATTTTTATACATACATGTACAAATGAAATGCGTGTATCTGACACACATATAACCGAATTACATGTATCTGTAGTACAAACATATGAAATGCATACATCTATAATACACACAAGTGTAATAATGTTTCCATAACACATGAAACTTAAAAACATGCATAAATAATACATATATAACTGAACTTCATGTATATAACACATAACTGAAACTTATACGTACATAAAATTTAATACGTGCATGTATAACTAAAATACATAATAAGGTTCAGAAAGCAGGCTTAACTTCTGATAAGCTTATCTCCAAAACAAATAGAGTTATTCTGACCTTTGGCACCGTTACGTAGGGTTATATGTAAGTGTGATGCGGTGACTTGATAAAGGCAATCTGTCAAATACATAGGACCAAATGTCTATGGTATGTTGAAATTAACCAACAAGTGTCACGTTGTCACACATATCGATGGTAAAGGATCATGATCAATGTACACCAATGTCATCATGTTCTGTATTTTGAATGTAAAGTCTAAACAAGTGCCATGATGTCATATGTATTGAATGTCATGTCAGTCTTTAAAATCATCATAGTTCCTGTATATTTAAAATCAATGTCATGACATGTTTACACTATTGCATACACGTATCACGTTGTCATGTATATTAAATCTTAAGGTCAAGAAGTATTTTCGAATATCGTGGTGGTTTCTATAATGAATGTCAATGTCGTCTTAGACACAGATAATTAAAAGTATCTCTTGTATACTTTAATATTTACATTTGCATGTCATTTTCACTAGCTAATCGATTTGAAAGCAGTGTCGTTTATGGGACTTTAAATCCCATGCACCACGAGACACAATTCTTAACACAGACCGGAACTACAAAAGCCAATGTACACACACATGGCGGCCGCTCGCAGGGCATTGAGACTTGACAAGGTAATTGGAAATGTGTAAAGATAATTGAGAACATATCTAAAGAATACTTTTAATTCAACAACAACAACAAAAAACTCCAAAGATCTGCACTATCGCACAACATGCACATCGGTTGAAATAACAGATGAAAACAATTTTTACACTCATTCAATTTATCAGAAGTATCGCCTGTTACACTATACTGATCTTACCATGACAAAATAAAACGATCTTCTAAAATTTTCCTTCGATTTGCCCGATTCTTTTGGTGGTGATTTTTGTATCTAGCAGGGATAAAACTTTAACAACTATCAATTTGGCAAACATTGATTTTGATCCAATCGACACGAATGCAAGCTCATACAAAATCTTACAATATTTGAATGATCAAGCCGACACCATATTGTGCTAGCGCGCATACTTATGTTTGGTTGCAAAGCTGTGCCAATCAAATAGATCATAAATGCCATACAAAAAAAGTTCAGTGCTTTAATGCCAATGTCATAATTGTTTTCAGTGTACTCTTCTTTATTCGCTGTGAATGTCGTGTCAAGTTTAAACCATTGTTAACATGTCACGTATCATTGAATGTCAACGCCCTTACGTCTATAACAGGGCCATCGTGTAACTAACTTTGAATGTCTACGCCCTGAAGTCTATACCAGGGCCATCGTGTAACTTACATTGATTGTCAACGCCATGAAGTCTATACCAGGGCCATCGTTTAACCAACTTTGAATGTCTACGCCCTGAAGTCTATACCAGGGCCATTGTGTAATTTACATTGAATGTCAACGCCCTTAAGTCTATACCAGGGCCATTGTGTAACTAACTTTGAATGACTACGCCCTGAAGTCTATACCAGGGCCATAGTGAAACTAACCTTGATTGTCAACGCCATGAAGGCTATACCAGGGCCATCGTGTAACTTACATTGATTGTCAACGCCATGAAGTCTATACCAGGGCCATCGTTTAACTTACCTTGATTGTCAACGCCATGAAGTCTATACCAGGGCCGTCGTGTAAATTACATCGAATGTCAACGCCCTGAAGTCTATACCAGGGCCGTCGTGTATCTTACCTTGAATGTCAACGCTCTGAAGTCTATACCAGGGCCATTGTGTAATTTACATTGAATGTCAACGCCCTGAAGTCTATTCCAGGGCAATCGTGTAACTTACCTTGATTGTCAACGCCATGAAGTCTATACAAGGGTCATCGTGTAACTTACCTTGATTGTCAACTCCATGAAGTCTATACCAGGGTCATCGTGTAACTTACCTTGAATGTCAACGCTCTGAAGTCTATACCAGGGCCGTCGTGTATATTACATCGAATGTCAACGCCCTGAAGTCTATACCAGGGCCGTCATGTATCTTACCTTGAATGTCAACGCTCTGAAGTCTATACCAGGGCCATTGTGTAACTTACATTGAATGTCAACGCCCTTACGTCTATACCAGGGCCATCGTTTATCTTACATTGAATGTCAACGCCTTGAAGTCTACACCAGAGCCATCGTGTAACTTACCTTGAATGTCAACGCCCTGAAGTCTATACCAGAGCCATCGTGTAACCTACCTTGAATGTCAACGCTCTGAAGTCTATACCAGGGCCATCGTGTAACTTACTTTGAATGTCAACGCCCTGAAGTCTATACCAGGGCCATCGTGTAACTTACCTTGATTGTCAACGCCATGAAGTCTATACCAGGGCCATCGTGTAACTTACCTTGATTGTCAACTCCATGAAGTCTATACCAGGGTCATCGTGTAACTTACCTTGAATGTCAACGCTCTGAAGTCTATACCAGGGCCGTCGTGTATATTACATCGAATGTCAACGCCCTGAAGTCTATACCAGGGCCGTCGTGTATCTTACCTTGAATGTCAACGCTCTGAAGTCTATACCAGGGCCATTGTGTAATTTACATTGAATGTCAACGCCCTGAAGTCTATACCAGGGCCATCGTGTAACTTACCTTGATTGTCAACGCCATGAAGTCTATACCAGGGCCATCGTGTAACTTACCTTGATTGTCAACTCCATGAAGTCTATACCAGGGTCATCGTGTAACTTACCTTGAATGTCAACGCTCTGAAGTCTATACCAGGGCCGTCGTGTATATTACATCGAATGTCAACGCCCTGAAGTCTATACCAGGGCCGTCGTGTATCTTACCTTGAATGTCAACGCTCTGAAGTCTATACCAGGGCCATTGTGTAATTTACATTGAATGTCAACGCCCTGAAGTCTATACCAGGGCCATCGTGTAACTTACCTTGATTGTCAACGCCATGAAGTCTATACCAGGGCCATCGTGTAACTTACCTTGATTGTCAACTCCATGAAGTCTATACCAGGGTCATCGTGTAACTTACCTTGAATGTCAACGCTCTGAAGTCTATACCAGGGCCGTCGTGTATATTACATCGAATGTCAACGCCCTGAAGTCTATACCAGGGCCGTCGTGTATCTTACCTTGAATGTCAACGCTCTGAAGTCTATACCAGGGCCATTGTGTAATTTACATTGAATGTCAACGCCCTGAAGTCTATACCAGGGCCATCGTGTAACTTACCTTGATTGTCAACGCCATGAAGTCTATACCAGGGCCATCGTGTAACTTACCTTGATTGTCAACTCCATGAAGTCTATACCAGGGTCATCGTGTAACTTACCTTGAATGTCAACGCTCTGAAGTCTATACCAGGGCCGTCGTGTATATTACATCGAATGTCAACGCCCTGAAGTCTATACCAGGGCCGTCGTGTATCTTACCTTGAATGTCAACGCTCTGAAGTCTATACCAGGGCCATTGTGTAATTTACATTGAATGTCAACGCCCTGAAGTCTATACCAGGGCCATCGTGTAACTTACCTTGATTGTCAACGCCATGAAGTCTATACCAGGGCCATCGTGTAACTTACCTTGATTGTCAACTCCATGAAGTCTATACCAGGGTCATCGTGTAACTTACCTTGAATGTCAACGCTCTGAAGTCTATACCAGGGCCGTCGTGTATATTACATCGAATGTCAACGCCCTGAAGTCTATACCAGGGCCGTCGTGTATCTTACCTTGAATGTCAACGCTCTGAAGTCTATACCAGGGCCATTGTGTAATTTACATTGAATGTCAACGCCCTGAAGTCTATACCAGGGCCATCGTGTAACTTACCTTGATTGTCAACGCCATGAAGTCTATACCAGGGCCATCGTGTAACTTACCTTGATTGTCAACTCCATGAAGTCTATACCAGGGTCATCGTGTAACTTACCTTGAATGTCAACGCTCTGAAGTCTATACCAGGGCCGTCGTGTATATTACATCGAATGTCAACGCCCTGAAGTCTATACCAGGGCCGTCGTGTATCTTACCTTGAATGTCAACGCTCTGAAGTCTATACCAGGGCCATTGTGTAATTTACATTGAATGTCAACGCCCTGAAGTCTATACCAGGGCCATCGTGTAACTTACCTTGATTGTCAACGCCATGAAGTCTATACCAGGGCCATCGTGTAACTTACCTTGATTGTCAACTCCATGAAGTCTATACCAGGGTCATCGTGTAACTTACCTTGAATGTCAACGCTCTGAAGTCTATACCAGGGCCGTCGTGTATATTACATCGAATGTCAACGCCCTGAAGTCTATACCAGGGCCGTCGTGTATCTTACCTTGAATGTCAACGCTCTGAAGTCTATACCAGGGCCATTGTGTAATTTACATTGAATGTCAACGCCCTGAAGTCTATACCAGGGCCATCGTGTAACTTACCTTGATTGTCAACGCCATGAAGTCTATACCAGGGCCATCGTGTAACTTACCTTGATTGTCAACTCCATGAAGTCTATACCAGGGTCATCGTGTAACTTACCTTGAATGTCAACGCTCTGAAGTCTATACCAGGGCCGTCGTGTATATTACATCGAATGTCAACGCCCTGAAGTCTATACCAGGGCCGTCGTGTATCTTACCTTGAATGTCAACGCTCTGAAGTCTATACCAGGGCCATTGTGTAATTTACATTGAATGTCAACGCCCTGAAGTCTATACCAGGGCCATCGTGTAACTTACCTTGATTGTCAACGCCATGAAGTCTATACCAGGGCCATCGTGTAACTTACCTTGATTGTCAACTCCATGAAGTCTATACCAGGGTCATCGTGTAACTTACCTTGAATGTCAACGCTCTGAAGTCTATACCAGGGCCGTCGTGTATATTACATCGAATGTCAACGCCCTGAAGTCTATACCAGGGCCGTCGTGTATCTTACCTTGAATGTCAACGCTCTGAAGTCTATACCAGGGCCATTGTGTAATTTACATTGAATGTCAACGCCCTGAAGTCTATACCAGGGCCATCGTGTAACTTACCTTGATTGTCAACGCCATGAAGTCTATACCAGGGCCATCGTGTAACTTACCTTGATTGTCAACTCCATGAAGTCTATACCAGGGTCATCGTGTAACTTACCTTGAATGTCAACGCTCTGAAGTCTATACCAGGGCCGTCGTGTATATTACATCGAATGTCAACGCCCTGAAGTCTATACCAGGGCCGTCGTGTATCTTACCTTGAATGTCAACGCTCTGAAGTCTATACCAGGGCCATTGTGTAATTTACATTGAATGTCAACGCCCTGAAGTCTATACCAGGGCCATCGTGTAACTTACCTTGATTGTCAACGCCATGAAGTCTATACCAGGGCCATCGTGTAACTTACCTTGATTGTCAACTCCATGAAGTCTATACCAGGGTCATCGTGTAACTTACCTTGAATGTCAACGCTCTGAAGTCTATACCAGGGCCGTCGTGTATATTACATCGAATGTCAACGCCCTGAAGTCTATACCAGGGCCGTCGTGTATCTTACCTTGAATGTCAACGCTCTGAAGTCTATACCAGGGCCATTGTGTAATTTACATTGAATGTCAACGCCCTGAAGTCTATACCAGGGCCATCGTGTAACTTACCTTGATTGTCAACGCCATGAAGTCTATACCAGGGCCATCGTGTAACTTACCTTGATTGTCAACTCCATGAAGTCTATACCAGGGTCATCGTGTAACTTACCTTGAATGTCAACGCTCTGAAGTCTATACCAGGGCCGTCGTGTATATTACATCGAATGTCAACGCCCTGAAGTCTATACCAGGGCCGTCGTGTATCTTACCTTGAATGTCAACGCTCTGAAGTCTATACCAGGGCCATTGTGTAATTTACATTGAATGTCAACGCCCTGAAGTCTATACCAGGGCCATCGTGTAACTTACCTTGATTGTCAACGCCATGAAGTCTATACCAGGGCCATCGTGTAACTTACCTTGATTGTCAACTCCATGAAGTCTATACCAGGGTCATCGTGTAACTTACCTTGAATGTCAACGCTCTGAAGTCTATACCAGGGCCGTCGTGTATATTACATCGAATGTCAACGCCCTGAAGTCTATACCAGGGCCGTCGTGTATCTTACCTTGAATGTCAACGCTCTGAAGTCTATACCAGGGCCATTGTGTAATTTACATTGAATGTCAACGCCCTGAAGTCTATACCAGGGCCATCGTGTAACTTACCTTGATTGTCAACGCCATGAAGTCTATACCAGGGCCATCGTGTAACTTACCTTGATTGTCAACTCCATGAAGTCTATACCAGGGTCATCGTGTAACTTACCTTGAATGTCAACGCTCTGAAGTCTATACCAGGGCCGTCGTGTATATTACATCGAATGTCAACGCCCTGAAGTCTATACCAGGGCCGTCGTGTATCTTACCTTGAATGTCAACGCTCTGAAGTCTATACCAGGGCCATTGTGTAATTTACATTGAATGTCAACGCCCTGAAGTCTATACCAGGGCCATCGTGTAACTTACCTTGATTGTCAACGCCATGAAGTCTATACCAGGGCCATCGTGTAACTTACCTTGATTGTCAACTCCATGAAGTCTATACCAGGGTCATCGTGTAACTTACCTTGAATGTCAACGCTCTGAAGTCTATACCAGGGCCGTCGTGTATATTACATCGAATGTCAACGCCCTGAAGTCTATACCAGGGCCGTCGTGTATCTTACCTTGAATGTCAACGCTCTGAAGTCTATACCAGGGCCATTGTGTAATTTACATTGAATGTCAACGCCCTGAAGTCTATACCAGGGCCATCGTGTAACTTACCTTGATTGTCAACGCCATGAAGTCTATACCAGGGCCATCGTGTAACTTACCTTGATTGTCAACTCCATGAAGTCTATACCAGGGTCATCGTGTAACTTACCTTGAATGTCAACGCTCTGAAGTCTATACCAGGGCCGTCGTGTATATTACATCGAATGTCAACGCCCTGAAGTCTATACCAGGGCCGTCGTGTATCTTACCTTGAATGTCAACGCTCTGAAGTCTATACCAGGGCCATTGTGTAATTTACATTGAATGTCAACGCCCTGAAGTCTATACCAGGGCCATCGTGTAAATTACCTTGATTGTCAACGCCATGAAGTCTATACCAGGGTCATCGTGTAACTTACATTGAATAGCAACGCCCTGAAGTCTACATCAGGGCCGTCGTGTATCTTACATTGAATGTCATCGCCCTGAAGTCTATACCAGGGCCATCTAGTAAATTACCTTGATTGTCAACGCCATGAAGTCTATACCAGGGTCATCGTGTAACTTACATTGAATAGCAACGCCCTGAAGTCTGAATCAGGGCCGTCGTGTATCTTACATTGAATGTCAACGCCCTAAAGTCAATACCAGGGCCATCGTGTAACTTACTTTGAATGTCAACGCCCTAAAGTCAATACCAGGTCAATCGTGTAACTTACTTTGAATGTCAACGCCCTAAAGTCAATACCAGGGCAATCGTGAAACTTACCTTGAATATCAACGCCCTGCAGTCTATACCAGGGCCGTCGTTTAACTTACCTTGAATGTCAACGCCCTAAAGTCAATACCAGGGCAATCTTGTAACTTACCTTGAATGTCAACTCCCTAAAGTCAATACCAGGGCAATCGTGTAACTTACTTTGAATGTTAACGCCCTAAAGTCAATACCAGGGCAATCGTGAAACTTACCTTGAATGTCAACGCCCTGCAGTCTATACCAGGGCCGTCGTGAAACTTACATTGAATAGCAACGCCCTGAAGTCTATACCAGGGCCATTGTGTAATTTACATTGAATGTCAACGCCCTGAAGTCTACATCAGGGTCATCGTTTAACTAACCTTGTATGTCAACGCTCCGAAGTCAAAACCAGTGCCATCGTGTAACTTACATGGAATGTCAATATCCTGATGTCTATACCAGAGCAGTTGTGTAACTTACATTGAATGTCAACATACGGATGTCTATACAAAGGCAATCGTGTTTCTTACCTTGAATGTCAACGCCCTGACATCTATACCAGGGCAATCGTGTCAGGTTTATTGAATGTCAAGGTCACAAGAAAGTCTATAATAGGGCCATCGTGTCACGTATATTGAATGTCAAGGTCATGTCAAGTATATACTTGGGCACTTTGTCACCTACATTAAATATCAATGTCAGATATCCCCCTGTCACGGTGTCATGGGTATTGCATTTCGAAATCTTGACAAATGCCGTTATGCAGAACACCCACAAGGACAGTAAGAAAACATGACACCCTCACGAGTATTACATATTCTTACTCTATTTCACAGAGGAAGTTCTGTTTCCGTTCACACGAGTTATCATTCCAGTTGTACTTCTCATGGTGAAGGAGGTCCATACAATCTTCTCCGCGTTTTCCTAAACTGTTTGGTTCTCCCGGATACCATTTTTGGAACGTCTGTGACTTAATTGGTGTCCCGTCGTCCGCCCATATCCATTCTCCTTCTATTAGTAGGTCTGTCCCATCAACCCACACGCCATCCGATGCGGCTGGATAAGTACATAGAAAAGCGTGCACTTAGAACGACGGACATAACAGTACACTAGGGAATCTTCAGACGGACAACTTTCTGTTGGAAACTTTGAGGATTCTTTAATATATGATTGAATAAATCGTAAATGCAGTTGCCCTGTATCTACATCAGTATGAAATTGATTTTTAAGGATCCCCATACCACTTCCAAAATCTGTAAACATTCGTCTTCCCTGCATTGCTATTGCATTTGATATATCATTTCAGAAAAGAAAACCGTACCTTGCGGGACATTTTATAAAGATTCGAACCCTGGACTATCGTTCTAACCGATTGAGCAACCTGGTCAGCGGAAGTGTTCTTGCCCAACTGTGCTACAGTAATAGCCTAACGGAAGTTAAAGGGAGGTTACTGTTAATAGGAAAAACTACAGCGCAGCTGGGCAGGGATCCATAATTAAAATGTAGGATTAAAATCAATCCTTTTAACATTTATGATGATATGACACACAGTTCCCTCTAAACATATTCGATTATGCGAGGAAGCGCATCTTAGAAGAATATCTATAATCATATATGTTAAAAAGAGGCATTTTAAATATTCATATTTCTGAATGGTTTCTTTTCGATTATGAAACATTTGGATTTGAAATAAAGTATTTAACTAAATGGTGGAGCAGCCGTTTTTGCAGAAACAAAGTAATGTATTCTATGGTTGCCATTTTTGTCAGCCCTTAAACGTCAATCAGAAAAACCAGTCGGGAGATTTTAAAACAATTTGAATTTAAATTTATGCAGTGATTGATCCCAACTACGCTTACAATATGACGGAAAGATGTAAATATTTACGTATACTAGTATTTGTTGCAACTGGTTTAAAACAAGATTTTACTTTGTAGGGTTATCTAAGGGCGGTACAGCAGAAAGGTGAATATAGGCTTGATTACGTTTTAAACCGTTTACTAACAATATATCTTAAGTAACTAAAAAGTATGTATAGTCATTCAATAGATTGTTTACTTACCCGGGTGCCATTCTCTTCTGAGTAACCCTTCAATGAAAGTCTGCTCCCGTTCTGTCTCGATAACAGCCAATTTGCTTTCAAACAGTTCGCAATAGGTCTGGTAAGGGGAAAAGTTGTACACATCTTACTAACATATTGCTATAAACATGTATTTATTTAAAAGGTTTTTTTCTAGGGACTGTACGAAATATAAAGATATACAGAATATATAGAAGTATAGAAAACACAATTTTACGAGAAGATTTTGTGGTTCATAAAATTCTTCATAAAGTATAAGGTTAACACAGGAATTGGTCGATGTGATGTTAAATGGTAGTCTCACCAAAGATTCTGCCCAGGTGGCAAGGACGCTGGAGAAAAACTTGTAGCAGGAGTCGTCGTGTCTGGTATAACCGTTAGGACATTCGCCAAGGACTGGAAAAGAGAAAAATACACACAGAGTTGTTTTTACATTTCACGTGGTCGTCATCAATAAAATAACAAAATATGTAGTATCAAAGTAGATATTTACAACTAATGAATATAAATTACAAACCTGACGCGACAAAAATGAAAATCAAACAAACAGAAATCCTGTTAGCCATTTTTGTTTGTGAGCTCTAGAACTGCACGCAGAGACTACGGGATAGTCAGGCAGCTGTCTAAGACAGGAAGGCGTGGGTATGGAAGCCAAAACGCACCACCTGAAGATGAGTTACATAGAGAACATTTTTCAGATTTATTGATTTTAAGGTAATGTGAACGAATTTATTCTAGCGATAATTGACATTGTTCTGTTTTGCTGTTATATGCTTGATCGCCAATTTCCTTTACGGTTGTTCACCTACTTTATTTTTTCATTTTTTATTATGTACTAGCAATATATTCATGATTTCGTTTTATGCTAATGTCAGAGTATCTGTCCATTTCAAAATTTAGGTTTGAAAAATGTATAAAATGATTTTTATAAAACTTTTTGAAAACAATGTACGAGAGTGAAAGTTCTATTTTACCCAGTGTGACATCTGACGTTATCCCCAAAATGGACATGTGTCAATCTAAATAAAACAATAACAATATAACAATAGACTTGCGATGTTATTCAGGAATATATTCAATGTCAACAATAACCTGGTCTACATTTGCAATGTTCATTGAACATTTGCCACTCACTGTTACCGTATCGAGTTGCCTGGATATTGGAACTTGAGATAAGGATATCGGGACGATGTCTGGATAGAAAAAGATAGTCCAACCATGTACGCTTCAGGAGTAGCGGTTGTATTGGTGTTCATTGTTGGACAAGGTACGTGTGTTAAATTGTTTTAAATGTCAATTTTGTTTGTCGGCGTTGACTATTTTCCTAATTTCGTTACCTTGAGAATTATTAGAACATCGTCGACATTTAAGTGACATTCCATATAAGGTTTGGTGTCATGAATGACTCACCTCGAGGAGATAAACAAACGAAATGTCTGGTGGTACGACTTTCTCCTGACAGATACGAAAAAATACCATTTCTTGAGAAAAACTAATTTATAGTTTTTGTATTTAATTTTACATTTTATGCTTTAAATTATTTAAATATTTGTTTTGTGTTTATCTTATTTTCTATGTTTAAATTATTGTTTTTGATTTTTGTTTTCATTGATACAATTTGTTATTTTATAGCTTCTAATATGCTACAAATATTCAAAATTTCTGTACGTTTGTTTTTTTTCATTTTAAGAAAATATTAGACGTTGCTCGTTTAATCATGTCATGTCATAAAGAAAAAATGGGTCTGATTTCAACAATATGAGCTGCGAAGAAAAATATATAAAGAATCATCAGGTCGAATTTATGGATAGATATTTTTAGCATCGTTTAAGATTTTATTTCATTGCTTGGTACGCGGTAAGATTACTAAAAATCACTATATCATCTTTAATTTGGCATACTTCCACAATACTGTTATTAAAATGTTTCTTCGTGTATTTTTCATTGTTGCCATGATTTCCAATTTACATTTGCCCGCATGAAAGAAATTTGAATATTGAGTCAATTTTGTCACGTTCTTGCATTTGTTTTAAAATGAAGAGCATGTACAAGCTTAATGTTAAAGAAAAATATTAATGCATTGAAAATCAGTTTTTAGGAAAAATGTAATGTTTGTTAGCTCGTTAGAAAAAAATGCAAAAATTCACAGTTTTTGATCAGGTTTCTATGGCAGACATAACTGAAAAGACAAATATTTTCATTACAATATCTGTTCCGTCAAAATGATATATAATAAATGTTGATGGACTAACGGCCTAAACTTTGCCAAGTTCTTTGTTTTACTCTTTGGAATTTAGGAAATAAGGAAGTGTACGCTAGCTGACCATCAATGGCGATGGTGTTATTTAATACTTTTGTTAAATAAATATATACAACTGATTACTTGCCATAATTTTTATCTTGTATATAATGAATTTCATGACATTAGAAGTAACACTACCCAGCAAATAATAACTCGAGGTAGCGTTTAGATAAGGGATGTAATTCGTTGATATTTCACTCACCAGTTATTGTGTAATCTGTTCCAAGTGGCTGCGGACTGCCCCAATGGTTTCGTCACCAACGGTACCTCCTGTTATCTCTTCTCCATCCTTCAGGCGTCCTGGATACAGGCCATGGTAACAAAACTTAGGATTGCATTTCTCGAGAAGTAAATTCAACTATGATTCAAGTTATTTTAATATCTTTTGAAAACTGTACAATCAGTAACCAAAATCGTTTTGCTAAGACATTAGCCTCTATTAAAATGAAATATTTTTTTCATGAAAACTGAAATTGGAAATCAAAAAGTTTGAAATATTAAAAATAAAATACGTCATCAAGTTCAAGGTTTGATGTTTAACAGAAAATTTGCACTGTACACGGGGGTGAGCTTGCTACGGTGGAATCAGCACAAGAGGAAGAGTTTCTCGAGTCCTACATACGCAGCGTTTGGAACGGATGTGAGTACATGTGAATTATCCTCACCGGAGTAACATACATGAAGTAAACATGTATATACTTACTAGTACAAGCTTCGCTGAAGTTTCACTCCAGTGGTGTACTGCGTGACATTTCGGACTGAGGAAGACGTTTTTCTAATATTTGGGACAAATATGTAAGGACACTTTTCTGTGTTATCATCACGTTACTTACTAGACAGGGACAGTTTTAGACATAGCAGGACCCTGCAAAATAAATCTACAATTATATTTGTCCCACTGATTAAGTAGGAGTTCGTCTTTGATCCCTGTCAAATCCTTCAACTCATTCTTTATTCTCTTCTCTCATCTTCCTATAATGTCTTATCCTGGTGGATGGAACTATTCGGTGGTACATTAAAAAACGCACATAAAACCACTCAAACAACCAACCAAACAACCAACCAACCAAACAACCAACCAAACAACCAACCAACCAACCAAACAAACAAACAACCAACCAAACAAACAACCAACCAACCAACCAACCAAACACACAATTAATATTTGATCGGTCCATGTCCATAATTGATCACAGTGACATTTCAAATACTTTTCACATGAAACGTTTAGCAGATGAATAGTGCGGAAACAACAGCCTCACAATGATATTAATGCAGAAGATACATTGGAATACGATAAATAAGATTTGTACTTTTCTTTAAATGAACTTTGACGTATAGTTGCAGTTAAAGCTGGACATCTAAATTTTATACATAAAAATTAAATAGTTCAAGTATTCAAAATTGTGACACTTTGATAAGAAATATCTTAACAGTCTCATTATTCTTTCCTACTTATATGCTTAATGTTCAAACATTTCATAACGGATAACATTTTGAATTTGTTGAATCATTATGGATAATAAGGTGAAGAGGCTAAGCAAAACCAATTCTATGAGATATTTGTACACTTAATAAATAATGTGTTGAGGAGACCATTTAAGATTTTGGTAAGCCTTTTGCTTCTTAGTTTTCAATTATTTGTTTCAGAAAGGCTTATTGCTGTTTCCATGTTCTAATTTTCGTTATAAAATAACAAACTTACGTCACACTTCTATAACTTTTAATTAAAAAACAAAAGCCTTATCCTCACCAATGTGCCAATCATACAATAATACACAATAATGACAATATACCTTATACACATACCTTATTTTCACTATTGGCAAAGACCGAGATGACACTTAACGGCAAACAATGTGGTCCAGTGTTATAAACATATTATATTGTGTGACTACAGATGTCAAAAGTAGGTTCATCTTGTTTTGTTAATTTAATTATTTAATGTGTGCGACCATTCGTTCTATCTCAGGGAACCAGACGGATGGGATATGGCTAGGAGGTACAGATCTAATAGTAGAAAACGAATGGATGTGGGCGGTGTCCAAAGAGCCTTTTGGTGAATTTGTCCGATGGGCCCCAGGAGAGCCAAACTCTATCAACAGAAACGGTGAGGACTGTCTGGACCTTCTGCCTCACAAGAATTTCCACTGGAACGATGAAAACTGTGGCTCCCTCCTCAACTTCGTCTGCGAACGCAGGTCAGTCTAAATCGTGTTTCCTGCTAACGATTTGCACTCTCTCCATTCCCCATTACTACTCATGACAGACAGACAGACAGAGTTAGTTGTGTTTTCTCAAGCGTTTTTTTTTTATCAGACTTAATCTCTCCATCAAATTGCATTACCGCTTATCTTTTATATTCTTTTGATATTATGGACAATGTCACATTTGTAATAATTACTTTTGAAACATGTAAATGTTTATGACAAATAGTTCAATGTATGGCTGTTTTTAATCCCTTGTTTAAGTTAGAAAATTAACATATTTTGATGTATCAAATATCGTTTTGTCTTCGAAGTAAAATATCATAAATTACATTACCTGCTCGCCAAAGAAAAACAATCAACAACACAAAGAATCAATGCGTGGTAGGACTTATCTTTCATTCAATACAACATCTTCAAGTGAACTTACAATGTATTCAAGGGCATTGTTTAATGACTGAGACCAAAACCAATCTTACTGCCTGACTTACTTAACTCGGCCTGCTCACCAACACAATATTCGAATTCCTTTGTTTTGCACGATTTAAAGAATTTAAGTTTTTCCTCAGTTTTGTAACGATCACAACTAACTGGTGGTGTACATTTATGTTTCAGTCTGTTGGAGGGTTACATCCCACCCAGTGTGTTAGGGTAGACACCGGTTATACGTACTGAGATGTGATATTTTGACAATAAAGTTCAACAAATCATTGCTCTTGTTTCCGTCCTAAGTCTCGTTATAAATATATCTGTAGTAGTTTCTGTATTGCAGACGTTCATTGTCTAATATAAGGTCATTCACGGTTTGGTGATTAAATGAGGCGAATAGTGTGAGAAACCTTACAGAATCGGAGGGCCTCTATATTTTTTATTTTCTCCCATCTGTTTTTTTTTCGATTGTGTGTCCGTTGGAGCCTCTGGTAAGTCCGTTGTCAGATTGATGTGCCCCGGCTAGAGTGACATGTTATACCTTGTCGATACCTACAACATTTTAGTGCAATCACACTTAAAGTAACCCTCATTAGCTGTGTACACCCGTTTTCATCTGACCATAGCTGTTGCGAGGACACAAAACCTCGAACAAACAAGGGGGGGGATCAGTCAGGGCTGAAGTGTGCATACAATCAAACTGCTATCCAATACTGATAATGCTAACCCAAAATGAATTACTTCCAATGGAAATTAAACAAATGTTTGTCCAAAATGTGATTTCCCTATATAAACTATTAAACTATAGTAAAGTTTACCCCCTCCCCAGGGGGAAACGTGAGACCCCAGGGTCAAGAAATTCACAATTTTGGTAAAGCACCTTAAGACCCTTCCATCTACGAAAAGTATTTGATTCTACCATATCTGGGTCTTGTGTAGAAGATTTTTGAAATTTTAGTCAATTTGACCCTTTTTGGCCCCGCCACTCAGGCCCCGGGGGATTTGGGACCAAACCGGCCACTGTTTTTGTTTTTGTTGACCTGTGGCCATAGAAAGTTTCTGCAAAATTTCATTGAAATTGGTTCAGGGGTTTTGGAAAAGAAGTCGAAAATGTAAATTGTATACGGACGCACGACGGACGACGGACGACGGACGACGCCGGACAAAAGGCGATCGCAATAGGTCACTTGAGGCTTTGTCTCAGGTGACCTAAAAACTAGTATGCGGTCCCAGCTTACTAGTCAGCAGATACCTTTTTCTTGAATATGAAATTTCAGGTTTTTTTGTGCAAATTTAACCAAAGTTTTCGTTAGTTTGCTACTAATTTATATTTAAACCGGAACTAAACCTGACCCTTTAATATACCACGTGACCACCATATCACGTGACTGTTAATCCGGAAACTTGCACATATGAATCTATGAATAGGTAACATTTTTGAACAAACTACACACTGTCAAGGTTTTAAAACAATTTTAGTTCTAGATTTCATAACATTCTATACATGTATCATCAAATAAGTGATGATTAGATTTAAATAAAATTTGAGTCCCTTATTCATTTGATTTTAACAGATCGCCACATCAATCGGGAATGGTTGGCACTTTCCGTAAACGAGAAAATATGTGTTTACGGAAAATTCCGACGGTTTCCGAATGATCGCCAAATAGGTGATGACAATGATGGGAACTAACTCTCACTTAAAACTCTCAAACATGTCAAGCCGACACCAATTATGATTTCCTGTAATGTGGTAACGTTGTTCATGTCATTGACAGGGTTCCGGGTAAATTGCATGAAACACGATTATGTTTCTGTTCCAAATACTTGGTTTGTAAACTTAACGATAAATGATGCAATTGCCACGCACACATAGACGAATCTGTTGAAAGATGATAGCAGACCAATCCATTGTTTAATACACAGGTGAAGATTCTATCGGCGTTGAAGGTTGAAAAGTATCACACGACCTTTAAGATGTGTTCGTAACATAAGGACGATTTTTAGTTTTAGTATGTTTATTTGGATAATGGATATTGCAATTTAATTATGTAATTATAGTTCAGTGAATTGTGAAAATATTCATGTAGCACAACCAGTAAGTGTTTCGTGCTTCATAAATATTTTCACAATCCATGCTTACCAACACGAAGAAAATGTTTAGAAATAGTTCATTGGATATTTCCAAGTCTATCTTTATATTCACAAATCATCCAAAACCAGATTATAGCTATGCTATAGCGAAATTTTTATTGATACGGAAACACAGCAATACAAAATACTACATTCTACATAGCTCCTTACCAGATACATCCGTATCACAAGCACTATACTACACGTTAGTTAAGATACATCTTACACTTTAACTAGAAAAGAGTTTTCGTTTATGTGCGCACGCACTGATAGTAAAAAAATTACCAAATCATATTTTTACATCATAGGCATCATTCTTTATAACATACCAAAAACTTCACTAAAACACAATGGAATAATATATTTCTTAAATGTCTTCTTTATCTTCGAATCGTACACAGTTTCTCATTTCCCTTCAATGTTCTACGAAACGTAAACAATGATAGTTCAACGAAAAAATAATACTAGCAAAAAGAACAGTAAATAATTCATTTTCATGTACAGTGTATACATGTATTTATATTGTACAAAAGCTTCCAAAAGTGATTTTTTATTGGCATTCCTTACAAAAAATATCTCTTTCGATTAAACTTTCGGATATGAATAAAAAGGATTGTATTCCCTACCTAAATTTTGTTCCGGTAAAATAGTGACTCTCAGTAACTTTAATGCGTAATTGTTGACAGATTGTTTAACAACAGATATTAAACTTTGGAAAAATGTGTGGTATTAGAAGATTTTAACATATGATGGCGGATTATATGGAGTCAAAATTCAGTGGGTGTTACAGTCGCACTTCACCGGTTTGGCAGAAGTATGAAATGCACTTATATGCCATTGAACCTGCACAGGTATGTATCAATGAATCTTAATATGTGTCACTAGCGTTGAGTCCAAGTGTTAAAGCTATTAGCTCAAAACCTAAGTAATAAGTAAATAATCTAGTTGTGCGATTCATGAAATAGACACACCTCAATATATCAGTGTTTGTAACTAGTAAGTTATCGTGACTGTAAATCGATAGGAACAGAGACCAAAGTGAACGGCATTGGGCAGCGGTACGCTCCGTCTTCCGCTTCCGTCGATGGTACTCTGTTCACTTCCGGGTTCAGTTTGAATTTCCTCAGTATACTGGTAAAAAATACGTACACGGTCTTATCAGCCTGTGCAGCGAAAGGGCAGCATCTGGGTCCTGAAAAAAGGAAAATATCTTGAAAGCGGCAAGATTACTGAGAAAAGGAGAAAATGTCAAAACGTTGCTATTTAAACGCCAGTGTATTTTTATTCCATCACATTGTTTCAAATATACTGTCCATAAAACATATTTAAGCTATATGAAGCTTCTGTTACATGAAAAGATAGATATAGTGTTTCGATGATATTCACGCAAGCCAATGGCACATACAGTATATATGGAATCGAAAAACCCGAGAACATTTTGTTATTATGTATTTTACTGAACGGATCTGATGTTAATCGCGCGGGTGAAAAGTGTTCTCGGCGATCGATTCGGTACTGAGTACAAAAACCGTGCAAACTTGAATACACAAGGAACCTCAGTTTCGGTCAGTAACAGAGACGGGAGCCCTGGACAGTTTGATAACGAAAGTCTAAAACATGTTGTCATAATAAACATCGATCGAAGAGGAAACAAAGATAAGATAGTCTAAGCTGAATTGAATGTCGTGGGTTGTGTTTACTGTATACAACGCGTCTAATCCTAAAAACGACCCCAATATTACAATCATCAATGAAAAATGAATAATAGATATTTTTTAATTCTAAAGTGAATAGATTTTCGTGGTTTGTGTACATATTATGTACAACGCGTCCAATCCTAAAACATGCCTACTACAACAATCATCAATCAAAGAGGTGACATAGTCTGTGTATATTTTCTAAGTTTAAGTTAAATAGATTTTCGTGGGTTATGTATATATGACTGTTGACGTACATAGTACTTTTATCACATACAAATTAGGTGCCCAGGCACAATGCTTCGATCATTATTTAAAGCAGGTGTCGTAATTTGCGTGTATCGCCATGGATATTACAGTAAAAGTAGTTATTTGTCATCATGGTTAGAGTGTACCTCAGCCATGTTTGAAGGTGTTGTGGTTAGTGTAACGAACCAAGATAAGAAAAGAAAAATATGTCATATTCAGGGACGACGATAGTAATTAATAACGCTGTATTTTGTTCAAGGCCTATGCATATTAATTGCGTAATCGACAAATAGTTAGTGGTTTTGTAATATTACATTATGCTGTATGGATTCAATAGAAAAGAAAATTTTCCACAGCTGTGATTAAGGTGAAAACGGGCTTGTGGTATTCGTGACAACGCCGTTTTTAAATACTGTGAAATCACTAATTTTCATGAGGTTTCCAAATTTCGTTGATTTCGTGGGTAATCTTCATCCAAGAATTCATAGCTAGGTCCACGAACTAATAACAAGTTTGATATAACGCAATTCTCCGGTTGAGTTTGTACACACGTAATTTACGAATTCATGTTACTCCAGAAATGGTGTTTTGTCGGGAAACTACGAAAGAGATCCATCGAAAATATATGGTTTCACAGTAATGCGTTGTGATTTGTGAAGTATTGAGGTTATACGAAAAGATGTTTTGTGAAGTATTGAGGTTATACGGGAAAATGCTTACGTGGTTTGCGTATCTTCTAGGGGTTTAAGGGAGTGGGGATGTACAGGTTTGTAGGTCAATAAAAGTGTATACCAGAGACCATTTATAACATTAGGAGATTCCATGTATGGTTGTTCTGTATTACCAAGGCCATAAGGAAAAAAGGTGTCGTTGGTTGTGAGCTGACAGCTGGAATCCAAAAAGTGTTCCGGTCGGAACTCCGTCGGACGCTTCCAGTAAGATGTGTCCATGTGTGAGGAATATAGGTGAAAGAGAACCATGTACCCACTCGGTATCTTGTACCCTCCTAACTCTACGTCATCGGTTGTGGTATGGGGCACGCCAAGGGGAACTGCAAAAATAAATAGATAAATAAATACATGTTAACACCGTTAAGGTACACGTCACATGTCATTTTATATGATCGAGATAAGACGGATTTTTTTTCCATTCATTACAATTTCCATATTTACTACTTGGAGAACTTTAAAACTAGATGGCGCTAATAACGCCTGTTTGTTTGTTTTTTAGTATTTTTTAGTATTTTTTTTGTTTGTAAGTGGTTTGATAAAAGGTGGCAAGAATGAATATATTCATACTTTCAAAGCAAAACTTTACGCTTTGCACTCTTCTTTAATAACATAATAGCAACAACACGTAATAACGGGTGAATTAAATAGTCTTCTTCCAGTAAATTCAACAAAAAAGTTGACGAACCAAAATTTGATCAATGGCTAGTTCCGTGCTCATATTTCGTTCGATCTTGAAAGCGTCGTAAAATCAGTTACTGGTCTTCTATAAGAATATACAGAGAAGGCTATACACCCGTCACATTTTGTTAATCTTTCTGTTTATAAAAGAGCCATTTTACTACCAGAATGTTTGTAAACCTACAGACGTTGCTGATGCGCTGGACCTCCCGAAGCGTTGCCATAACAAATGGAACCTGATCACGATCCTGCCAAGTCAGGTCTCGGGTTTTAGAAACCTGTAAAAATCATCAAAATCTTTAAGTTGAATAAAGACAAATTGACAAAAAAAATGTATCTTTAATATAGTGTTGCATTTTTGCTAATGACTAGAAATGGAATGAGTGTGTGCATGTGTATGGAAAAATGAACTGTAAATGTATTATGTACTGTTGAAAAAAAAAGACAAAGAAAAAAGACAAATTGACAACGAAATACGAATTATTGTGGGAGGTGCAAAGACCACATGTACATAGACCAGCTAAATGTATGTCACTATATACTATATACCTTTAACAAGATTACGTTCATAACATAACAAACTATCTGCAAAGGACCTGAGTGTGTCATCTGTGGTTTTAACTTCCACTGATTAGCTCTGAAGTAATTCAAAAGAATTTTCCTTGAGTGAAGTGCAAATTTGTTCCAGAGGACTGTCACGTGGTGAATGGTCGCCACTTGCTCAAAAAAAGAACTATATACTGTGAATACTCGTGTGATTTGAATGTTTCGGTACACTTCCAGTTCTGTGATGAGTGTATATATTGTGAATACTCGTATGATTTGAATGTTTCGGTACACTTCCAGTTCTGTGATGAGTGGTATTTATTGTTAATACGAGTATTCACAATATACTACTCATCACAGAACTGGAAGTGTACCGAAACATTCAAATCACACGAGTATTCACAATATATACTTTCTAAAACAATATCAAACTAAAGGTGCCTTCAAAAGAAACTTAAATGCAGCATATAACGAAATGTATTCAGAGCACTCGTGTCATTGTGTCAATTAAGTTGTATCTATCTATGAATGGACGTGTGGATTTTTGAATACACGCACGTGTTTGTGAGTACAAATCCCTCTGACGCATGTGTTTGTGAGTACAAATCCATCTGACGTGTGTGTTTGTGAGTACAAATCCCTCTGACGCATGTGTTTGTGAGTACAAATCCCTCTGACGTTTGTGGGTGTGAATACACATGTCTCTGTGTAAAATACCTTATGAATATCATGTCTGCACATCGTCTGTACTTCTGGATAGCGCACCATATACAGGAGTGCCCAAAGGAGAGTGTTGACCGTCGGCTCAAGTCCTCCCACCATAACGTCTACCAGTGTCTGTATCAGGATATCGTCTGGGATAGAGAGGATTAGTTAAAAATGTTTATTGTCCGATTTTTTGTTGGTTTTTGAAGGGGGTAAGGGGCGATGGGTGGGGGTGGG